TAGTAACAACAGTTTTTTTTATTTGTAATTAAATTCGATTTTTTTTTTGTCAACTAGAAAAAATGAAAATAATAAAGATAGTTTTATGTGTTGTCAAGATAAACGCAGTTTGAAAACGAATTAAATTAGACTTAAAATTTCTATTTGATATAGGATGATTTATAGATTTAGATTTCGAATGAAATTATTATCAAAAACTTAGTGAGAATAGTACCAATTTAGATCGTCGAAAGTTGGATAAATAATACATTAACTCAGTCAGTTGATATAAAACTACAACATGTCTAATAACTTTGATTTATATGTAAATCAAAGTAAATAAATCAAGAGTCTTAGAACAGATGTATTCGAGTGCGCTGAAGCTCATTGAAAACCTATGATGATCTATTGAAATCCAACAAATACATTATCAGTCAACGAATTCCACTATGATTTGAAATTAAAGAAGAAAATGTACATCTTGACAAATCCTATTAAATTTTAACAATCAAAGAATCTGTCGGAGCTCAATAGATTCCAGCGGAACCGGAGTAGATTAGATTTGATTTTTCATTTTTGTATGTAATCTTAGCTCCCATTTGTTTTTATGGTCTAATTTCATTCAATTCTGATAGATTCTATGGTTCTTGAAATTCAATAGAATCTATTCTTCTTTCTATAAACCACTAGTTGAATTTCACTAAAGAATAGAAAAATGTGAAGATTCGATCTTCTATTTGAAAACGAATTAAAATTCGGAAAATTTCATGTGCTTTGAACTAGACCGAAGATATCAAATTTCTTCACTATTTTTCTTTATTTTAACAATCAATAACAATTCTATTTGACAAATGTTTTTCTTTTTAAGCTTTTCATTTTGGTGGTCGTGGTGAAATAAATGTAACATTAGGTGTTCCACGCCTTCGTAAATTACTTATAGTTGCATCTATAAATGTTAAAACAACAACAATACAAGTTCCTATCTTACGTAGTTCATCAGCATTATGTAAAGCAAAACGTTTACAACGTCGTTGGTCTCGTCTTTTATTTTCTCAAGTACTAAAAAATTTAAATATACATGAAAAACTTTCATTAAAATTAAATGATCATAAACATACATATAAAATTGAATTTTATTTTGATGAAAAATATGGAGAAAAACAATTAAATGAAATTATATGTTCATTTGAAACATATTTTATTCCACGTTTATGTCGTTCAATAAATAAAAAACGTAAAGAATTAACAACAAGTGCTCTTTTAAGATCAGCACATATTCGTGATAAGATAACAATTAATGATTTAAATGATAAAGATGAATAACAAGAATTAGCTGAAAAAGATGATGATGATGATGACGATAATAATAATAATAACAATGAAGAAAATGAAACTGATGATGAAGAAACAATGCAAGATACTCAAGATGAAAATGATCAAACAAATACATAAAAAATCACTATTAAAGAAGATGTCATTGATGATGATGATGATGTACCAGGTAATCTTATTGAAAATAAATAAGAGAAATAAAACTTTAGAATTAGTTGTTTTTTGATAGATTCTTGAGTTTTATAGTCATGTATTTTTTTTTTATTAAAATAAAAAAAGTGTTGTAAATGATGAATTTTAACGACTTATCTTTGAGTATGTGAAATTCTTATGTACTGTTAATGTGCATTCTTGATGAAACATGTTTATTATAATATATTACAATAGATGCGAAAGAATACGTATCATAAATCATGACGCACACCTGAAGAATACGAGAAGAGATAATTTTCTCGCAGCAGAACTAACGAGGTAAATTCATCAACTGTTCAATCTCTTTTGAGTTGAAAGTGTGTTCATCATGTAGGTTCTAATGAACTATGAATAATCTGAAAAAGAATTCGAATTCTTAGATTATTGCTACCGAGCTACTCCATTTTTTGAGGGTATTGTTTAAATGAATGCCGTGATTCTTTCTCCGGAAAACTTATTTTTGAATTTCAACTTGAAGCTTTGCATATAAACAGATCTTAACAAGAATAGTTCATTGTGAATGTTTCAAGTATTTTGGTTTGCTTCTATCTCGAAATAAGAACATTGAATCTATCGATGTATATAAGCAATATAAAAGACAAGCTTTTACTATAGTTGTATCTTAGGATCGAAATCATGAAAAGATTTGAAACTTTCATAATAAATTATTTTCGTGAAGGTATATCTCTATGCAAAGCTTCAAATTCAACACCAAGAATAAATTTTCCTTATATTCCTGAGGAGAATTATAGCATTGTATTAAAAAACAATTTAAGAATGAGGCATCTCAGCAACAATAATCTAAGAGCTCGAACTCTTTTCAGAATATTCAAAATTCATTAGGACCTACCAGAGGTCCAACCAGGCTCACTTTTTGTAGGCCTGGCCTGCCTATGACAGGCCTACATCCATCCCGGCCTGCCTGTGCCTGTCATCTTTTTTCTTCGGCCTGGCCTGCCTGCCTGTCGTTTCGCTCGGCCTGCCTGGCAAGGCCTGTCTACTTTTTTTAAATCAAATATCATAGTAATAATAAGATATAATTTAGCATTAATCATCGTAGAAAGTTCAACAAGTCAATAGAATCAATTTAGATGATACAAATAAAAGTTTCCTGATGTGAACATTCAATAAAATACACCCATGTTCAAAAAGTTCCCGGACTGTTTTTATTTCATAAAAATGAAATGAACTACACTCATGAGTTTATATTTTGGGTGTGAGGTGTGGGTGTAGGTGTGAGTGTAGGTGTAAGTCTGGTATTCTTTTAGACTTACACCTACACCCACACCTCATACCCAAAATATAAACTCATGAGTGTAGTTCATTTCATTTTTATGAAATAAAAACAGTCCGGGAACCTTTTGAATATGGGTGTATTTCAGTGTTCATTATACAGAGATGTTCCCTTCTGATATATACATCAGAGTATATGAGAACAGAAGTCGAACGAAAATCGCTATCGTCAGACACTTTTTTTTGTAGTAGGTCAAAGTCAGAAAACAAACATTTATATATCATTATAAGGAGGCTTTCATTAGGAAGTCACCGATTTCGAGCAGAAACTACTCAAAGCCAACTAAAACTGTTCACTATAGGGAGGTGCGCACATTATAAAGGTGTTGACAGTATGGATTTTTTCTCTACGTTTAATATGAATTGAAAAGCATTGGTATCTAGAAAACTAAAGAAATAAAACGATACCAATATGCAGGAAAACAATCTTGTTCTTGTTCGAGAATATTTTGGATGGATCTGGTAGACAAAAATGTCATTCATAGTACCACAATCGAGAGAAGGACTACGTGCAGTAGCTACCAAATTTAATACAAAGAAAACGTTCAGCTTCAGCTGAACTAGCTGAGACTCAAACATTTTCTGGAGCAAATAGTGACAAATAGAAAAGACGAATCATCCAATAATAAAACTGATTCGCTCGAAATATTTGGTTTTTTCTACGTAAAACCATTTCACAAGTGTTTCGAAAGTGATGGGCGGTGAAATTGGCTCTATGGCGATTATTTACATTGTCTTGGATCACTTAAAATAATGAATAAGTATATTATATCCGACTATTGATGATAATCAGGTCGATTTAACCATCATTATGATAGTCAATTCGCCTAATTTTCGTGTAGTTTGATAAAAGCTTTTAAGAACTCTGAAATGCCAACAACATATCGAAAAAAAGCAAACTGACTACTGAAAAATGTCCAATGAAAACTTGTCCCCAGACATAATTGTGAATGTCTTTAATTGATATATTCGTAGATTATAATCAGAAGAAGTATAATTTGGATCAAAGCTAAGGTCATGTTATGAATTAGTATTTAACGCTGAGACGACTTTTGTGACTTTTCAATATTTTCATTGATTTTTTTCGTGGAATAGATCATCACAGATCCCCAGGGTTAAGTTAAAAAGAGAATCACATCGAAAAGTTGTTTCAGCACGAGAAAAAATTTCTACAGCTGCACAATAACACTATAGCACAACATGGCGTCTGCTTAAACTACTGATACACTTTTTTGTCGATACTCATTTTTCGACTTGATTCTGAGCAGGACTAGAGTGATTTTCTACGAAAAAAGTTCATAAACAGATTCCAAATTCACATAAGTCAACTTAATACTAAATGCCGGTCTATATAGATGATTTTAGTTTTTATCCAGACTTTACTTCCTCTAATCAAAACTAGCGAAATATCAGTCAAGAAATGTACTTAAAATAAAGTCCGCTGAAGTTTTTCTTGGACGTTTTTTAATGGTTAGTTCCTTTCTTTTAACGTGTTACTAGCATTTCAGAACACTTAAATATTTCTATCAAACTATATGAAAATCAATATAGCCGACTATCATATTGATGGCTAAATACATCTAATTATCATCGACAATGGGATATAATACACTAATTGATTGTTTCAAACGACCTGAGTGTAGCTCAAAGAGGAGTAACAGACCTAATTCTACCAGAGATCACTTTCGAAACCCTTCTCAATTAATTTTGGGTAGGAAAAAGCAAATTTTTCGAGGGGTAGAGGTTCCATTACTTATTGAACCTCTTCATTATGGTAATAACCTTTTCATATTAGTAATAGATTTGATCATTTATATATATCGTCAATATTTATTCTCAAGTATTGGTCAAATTCTTTATATTCAAATATCATTCTTGAAAACTGACTCAACTGAATTTTTTTCTAGCAATAAATCCCAATTATGCGGTAAAAGTTTTATATCGAAGAAAAATTAGACAGGCCAGGCGGCCTGGCATTTTTAGGCGGCCTGCCTGGCCTGTCGAAGGGGTCGGCCTGGCCTGCCTGTGACAGGCCAGGCCTAAAAATCGTGACCTGTGCCTGTGACAGGCAGGCCTAGTGGCCTGGTTGGGGCTCTGGGACCTACTCTATATACATAATCTAAACTCCAAAGCGACTTCCCTATCATATTTGCCATTCATAAAACTAGGATTAAATGGTAACCAAAGTCATAGAAAAAAAAGTTCTTTCAACTAATGTTTTGTTAATGAACGTAACAGTTTATAATAACTAATTTTCGAATAAATTTTTTTTTTTTTTTGAACTAGCATTGGATATATCTAAAGAAGAAATGAATAATGATGATGAACAAGAAGTACCTGGCAATGATGAAGATAACATTGATGAACCACCAAGTAAAAAAGCAAGGAAAATCAATACGAAAACTACTCTTATGGATAATATGACATACAATGAACGATTTGGTGTATGTATATAACAAAAAAAAAAATAGAACGACATTTTCGATTTCATTTATTAAAAAACGACTTTTCCTTTTAGAATGTCTGTAAACATGCTGATTATATACGTGATTATACAGCTGATCTTGATAATAATTTATGGTGTCGTTAAGAATATTTATTTTGTTTTTCAATTGATTCTCTTTCATTATTTATATGTTAATTCTTAATTCTTCTTGTTATTGTCTATCACAAGAGTAATCTTCTCTTTATACCAGATAGTAATGCATTTATCATATCAGTTGGTAATCGAGTGAATATGATCGATTTAAAAATATATTGTATATGATTAATTGTTGATCAAAATCAATATTTTATTTTAGTGATCGATCAGAAACATTATCATTTGAAAGTGAATTTAATACTATTTGTTCAACTCTCTCATCTAATGATGCACTCTTACTTATTACTAACGAGAGTAAGAGTTAGATTATTTTAATTTCAAAAATATTTCATGTATTTTTACACAGCTGGTCGAGAATATTTATACAATGTCAAATGTCGTAGATTGATTGGTATTCATCGTTTTGGACATGATATTCGTACAATCGAATTCAGTCTTGATTTCAAGTAAATATAATATTGATGATTTAGATATTATAAATCTATTGTATAATACTTTAAAAATTCTTTTAATATAGAAGTAATATTATTTGTCCGTTTCGAATTTATTTTAACAGTGTAGATGAATTGTCAATGAAAGTTTTATTTAAGATTTAAACAAGCTTTAATTTTTACTAATAAATTTTTGACATAAGAAAAATTTTTATATTATAGATCTGTAGCTGTTTGTCGTAGTAATCGCTATGAATTCTATACTTGTCCTAGTACTCATCGTCAATTCAATTTGTTTACATTAAAATTTATTCTTCATTCATGTCATGATAAAATAACATTTATCAATTGGACAAGTGATTTTCCTTATGTTATATTTTTCTTTCATAAAAATAAAACCAAAGTAAATCATTTTTGTTTCATAGTATTCTGACCGTTATTAGGGCAGATATGACAACTAAAATATTTAGTGTCTCTTTACTAGATAAACTATATCGATTTATATTAGTTAGTTATGTTTGTGAAATCGTCGGCACTTTTTTTGAACAAGATTCATTGAATGTACATCCATAATTGTCTTTATTTTTCAAATGATATTGTTTTTCTTCTAATATAGATAATGACTGTTTGTAAAAATGCAAAAGTCAATTATTGGACTACTGATATGGATTTAGCATCTATGGAATCAATATCATATATACCTGATGAAAATGATAATTAAGAAATTCAGACATCATCAAATGGTCATATTGATAGAAATGATGATGATAATGAAGAATTAGATGATGTTGTTGAACGAAAACGAATTAAACTTTTAGCAAAAACAAAAACGTTTAGATGAATATCTTATGAAAAATCGAACTAAAGATGATATGGTTGTTTTCAAACGAACGAATAAGTCAAATACAAAAATAAATCAATTTGTATTTTAAAAAAAAATCGTTTTTATTCTATTCTATGGATTTAATGATAAAGAAACATTTGAAGATGCTAATCATGATGCTTTACTTCTTTGTGTTGATCATCAAAAAATACATATGTTAGTAGCAGGATTTTCAAATGGACATTTTTATCTTCATGAAATGTTTAATTTTAATATTATTCATTCTTTAAAGTTTGAATATATTCTTGAAAAGCTGTCAAAACTAGTTTTGATGACAAAGAAAAAATCAAGTCTGTGGGAATCTGGACATAACGGGTGTCTTCATTACGTTCAGATTATTTTTTTCAATAAATGAATGCAAAAAAAAAAAATAAGTAAATATATATGATGATAGACAATTCCACGGGCTTTCAGAATATATAATTAGTTTTAAATAAACATGTTTTTACAGCGACAATAAATGAGAAATACAGAGTAAAACTATTTTTTTTGAGGAAGATATATATAGAGAGAAAACAAAAACGAAAAAGATAATCTGAGTACATTCTTTCACATGAACTTAGTTTAAACATTAAGTAGAGCAAATGAAGTCGGTCAGACATCTTCTTTTCCAACTGTGCAATAAGAAGAGAAAGAGATAGAACAAAAAATCAAATATGAATTTCGAGGTTTTAATGATGAAAGAAAGAAATGTTCGACATGGGTACGAAACAGAAAATAGATAGATATTGCACAAGAAATAAAGAAGAGAAGAGAGAGAGAGAAAAAAAGGACCTATATATACGTGTAGATAGATAGCACATATAGTTAGTACACAAATATACGTTAAGAGAATGTACAGATCGCACGATACCATTCACTTCGTCATTCGTGTAATCTATGTACTGATGGATGGTTAAGAGTTTGTATTAGTGTACCTCGTGCTGCTATTACAAGGTTTATTAATGCCTTGCGAAGCAGGAGCATTTATGTAGTCCTTCGCGAGTTTTCTTTTTTTTTTCTTTTACTTACTTGACGTACGCAAAAAAATAGTCATTTTCTGTTGGAATGATCTCGAGAACGAAAAGCCGCAAAACACTCGTTCAAACATGAACCACAAGTATCGAGATCCAACTCGTACCATTTTTAGTCAGACCATCTATAGAACCTATCGTTCGTCTACAATTGGACTTCGAAAATCACGATTTTGACAAAGTTTACTGTTGAGATAATTGGTAACGATCGAATCTTTTTTTTAGAAAAAAAAAAAAAAGTGATTTATTGTTCTTATTTGTGTAGCTCTTTTATTAAGTGCATTAAAACAAGAATAAATATGTTTTTCTTCTTTTCATTTTGTCTCTATATGAAACTATATTTGTAGATTTAATCATATATAGTGTTTTGGTTTTTTTTGGTTGGAATTTGCAAAAAAAAAAAAGAAAAATTCTAAACAAATGGCTGAATAAGTCGATCCAAATAAAGAAGATCAATATGCAACAGCTATATTAAATCGTAATGAACGTCCAAATCATTTAATTATTGATAATGCTATTAATGATGATAATAGTGTTGTTATATTATCACAAAAAAAAATGGATGAATTACAATTATTTTGTGGTGCTACAGTTTTACTTAAAAGTGAAAAACATCGAGAAACAGTTTGTGACATTGACATTAGTGTTTTATGTCCAATTAATCGTATTCAAATGAATCATGTTGTACGAAATAATTTACGTGCACGTTTAGGTGATATTGTTTCAATTCAAGGTTTAAAAGATGTTCAACATGGTAAACATATATCTGTTTTACCTATTGATGATACTGTACAAGGAATAACAGGCAATCTATTGAAAGTTTATTTAAAACCATATTTTGCTGAAGCTGATCGACCAGTACGTGAAGGTGATGTTTTTATTGTACATGCAGCTATGCATGCTGTAGAATTTAAAGTAATTAAAACTGAACCAAGTCCGTATTGTATTGTTACATCACGTACAATTATTCATTGTGATGGTGATCCCATTAAACGTGAAGAAGAAGTATCTTTAAATGAAATTGGTTATGATGATATTGGTGGTGTTAGAAAACAATTAGTACAAATTAAAGAAATGGTTGAATTACCATTGAAACACCCACAATTATTTAAAACAATTGGAGCTAAACCACCATGAAATATTCTTTTATATGGACCACCAGGCACAGGTATGATAAAAATAATAGAAATATTTTTAGAAAAAAAAAAAAAGAATTATTTTAGGTAAAAGTTTAATTGCACGTGCAGTGGCTAATGAGATTGGTGCATTTTTATTTTTAATCAATGGACTGGAAATTGTGTCTAAATCAGCTGGTGAATCTGAATCTAATTTACCTAAAACATTTGAAGAAGCTAAAAAGGTAAAGTTAATTTACTAGTTAATTTCTAGAAAATTAAGAGGACAAATTGAAGAAGTTGACTGTATATTAATTATAATACAATTTTTATTCAAATAATTTTTTTTTGTTTTTAGAAGGTTCCAGCTATTATTTTCATCGATAAACTGGATGTAATTGCACCAAAGCGTGAAAAAAGACATGATGAAATTGAACATCGTATTGTTTTACAATTATTAACATTAATGGATGATCTTCAACAATGTTCACATGTAATTGTTATGGCGGCAACAAATCGACCAAATTCAGTTAATCCAGCACTTCGTCGTTTTTATCTAGAAATTGATATTGGTATTCCTAATGCTGTTGACCGTGAAGAAATTCTTCGTATACATACAAAAAATATGAAATTAGGTGATGATGTTAATCTTGTACAAATTGCTAATGAAACACATGGTTATGTTGGTGCAGATTTAGCATCATTATGTTCAAAAGCTGCTTTACAACAAATTCGAGAAAATATGGATGTCATGGATTTACAACAAGATACAATTGATGTTGAAGTACTCAATGCATTAGTTGTCACAAAAAAGAATTTTCGATTTGCACTTAATCAATCAAAACCATCAGCTTTATATGAAATAGTTGTTGAAAAATCAAGAACAACATGGAAAGATATTCATGGTTTAGAAAATGTTAAACGTGAATTAAAAGAACTTATTGAATATAATTTTGCAAATCCGAACGAATTTCTCGAATTTGATAAGACGTCGTCAAGTGGTGTTCTCTTTTATGGACCACCAGGTTGTGGTAAGTTCATCGAAAAAAAAAAAAAAAGAAATCTTTTTCATCTTTATTTGTTAATATTTTCTTGTTTTAGGTAAAACATTATTAGAAAAAGCTATGGCCAATGAATGTGATGCTAATTTTATTTTGGTTAAAGTTCCAGAATTATTAACTATGTGGTTTGAAGAATCAGAAGCTAATGTACATGATGTATTCGATAAAGCTCGTCAAGCAGCACCATGTGTATTATTTTTTTATGGATTAGATTCTATTGGTAAGAAAAAGATTTAAAAAAAAAAGAATATATTTTTGTTTTTGTTTTTTATAGCTAAATCTCGTGGTGATGCAGCTGATCGTGCTTTTAATCAAATTTTAATTGAAATGGATGCTATGCTTGTAAAAAACAATGTTTTTATTATTGGTGCTACCAATAGACCAGATATTATTCATTCAGCTATACTTCGACCAGGTAAGAAAATGAAAAACTATTTATTTTATTTATAAAATTACGATTTTCTTTTTGTTTTTTATTTAGGTCGTCTTAATCATTTAATTTATATTCAATTACCTAATGATCAATCTCGTATGAATATAATTATGGTGAGCGGGCAACTGATCACAGGAAATTGATCATGGATAATTGATCATGACAGACAACTGATCACGGCGGACGACTGATCATGAATAACTGATCATAAAGGAAAATTGATCATGAAGGGTCATGAGATTATTGTTATCGTTTAGGGTGGGTGTGTGGGTATGGGCGTGTGAGGTGGTGTGGGTGAGTGTGGGTGGGTGTGGGAGTAGGTGTAGGTGGGAGTGTAGGTGTGGGTGTGGGTCTGGGTGTGAATGTGGGTGGGTGGGTGTGGGTGTGAATTTATTTCTTATTTTTAAAACCCACACCCCACACTCGCACCCACCACACACCCACCCACACCCGCACCCACTCACACCCACGCCAACACCCACACCCCACCCTTTTTATGATCAACTGTTCAAGATCAGTTGTTCCTTATGATCAGTGGTCATCATGATCAGTTGTCCGTGATAAGTTATCCCATGATCAGTTGTCCTAGAGCCTATAATTATGGGTGTATTAAGACAATCAGCAGCACTAAATTATAGTGATTCAATTATGTTAGCAAGTGAAACAACAGGTTTTAGTGGCGCCATGTTAACAGAATTTTGTCAACGTGCATACAAATTTGCTAAACGAGAATCAACTAAAAAAGAACAACGACGTATTAGACAAACAACAACGGGCAATGATAAACCAACTCCTGTACTTGAAATACGTCGTAATCATTTTACAAAAGCTATTGATTTGGCACGACGTTCAGTAAATGCCAATGATATACATCAATATGAAATATTTGCTGAAACATTACCAAAACATTTTCAAGATGTTTCAACAGAATAATGGACATTTTTTTTTTGTTATTTTTTTTTGTATTTTTCAAATAAATATTAAAAAAAAAAACTTCATTATCTACTAAAGAACTATGATTGTACAATGAATTGATAGCCATAATAATAGTTATATCAAGATCACGAATATAAAGAGAATCAAGTGCTAATCGATCAAATCGTTGGTTGACATCCACAACGGCATATAAGAACATCACCCGTATTGAGGTTATGAAAAATGATAGATAAAATTTCATCCTGTATATCGAGTATATTGAGATAATTGTTATTTAAATTGTTCATGTCTAATTCATACAATGTATTCATGTCAATCTATATGTATTTTCTCATTGCCGTGTCTACCAAAACAATGACGAATAAATATCGATGTCATCATATTGTTCTATGATCAAAGTAACAAACAGACAAGACTAATTTCAAGTGAACTAACCAAAGAAATTGGCATTGTTAGGCAGAAAAGTGTCAATTATGTTTCTTAATTCATTTTGAATTAGTTCAATCTGTTTGTCCACCGAATATATGAAGGTATTTTTCTTTTTCTCTAATAATTTCTGCTATAATTTCTTAGTGATGATGCATCGATCATCGTCTTATTCTCTTGTCAAACAAAATATTTCTCATGGATCGTGCTTCTTATAACACACAATATTACATTTAGAACAAAATAAAACATGAGTTAGACATCAGAAGTCTATTCACAAATTATCAAAGATTTAATTCAATATAAATTATTGAAACTATTTTGAACTTTAGATCAAATGCAATCAGAAATTAATGTTCATTCATTCTTCAATTTGAGTTAGATTGAAAAAGTAAGGACTATTTTTACATTTAAAATGAAATCAACTCTTTTTGTATGTCATCAAACAATTGCAAAAGGAGCATTTTCATTTTACCTATAACTCTGCAGCAGAGACCGTCACAGGGCACTTTTTTTGTGCCCTGCCCTGCCCTGCCCTGCCCTGGACGATAAAACATAAAATATTTTTTGCCCTGCCCTGCCCTCAGGGCAGGGCAGTACAGGGCAGGACGCCCTGAGGGCATTTAAATTGAATCTCAACTATAGGATGAATTTATAACATGATGAATAAATCTAATGGGTTTTGTGTTCATTATATATGTCTTGTTTAAGTCATTTCAACAGAATATTATCCATGCGTAGAAACAATCAAAAGTTCGTTTAAATTCTATGAAAACGATACTGTTTTTATATAATTATAATCCTGCTGAAATGCTATGTTAGTCTTTTTAAATCGTCAAGATTATTTTCAAAATTTTCTAGTCGATTAAGATTGAATAACTAATTTAAAAAAATAAAAATTGATAAATATTTTTGATTAATGAGAAAAAATTTTAAAATCTTTTCAGTGAAAGAAAACGAAATAATTGATCAAAAGTTACACGATAATCGAGCAAAAATGATGTCATTTGAGTTTATTCTTTGTAAAAAAAAAATAACTGACTTTAATTCAGTATCTTCACTTCTTTTGTACGGATCCAAAGAATAACCAGGATAACTGCAGAAAAATAAGATATTTATCAATGAACACAGAGATTGTGATTGACTGAACGCTATCATTTTATCGATTTGCAGATTTTCATCGCTACTTACTAAGAGGTTGCTATTTATTTTCTATTTGTTATAAATACTTTTGATGTGATAACCGTGGTTAAACTCTTCTGAAGTGGGGAGAACTGTATTGTACAATGATAAATCAGAATGAGTATCGAATCCATTAGTTCTGATGAAACCAATTGGAAAGACAGGTTCATCACTGGTTGATGGAAGTTGATGGAATTTCATCGATAACAGATGTTTTGAAAGATTCCATCTAGCTTCAAAAAAGGCTTTCAAATAAACTTATGTGAAAAATTAACAGGGCAAAAAAAATTTGCCCTGTCCTGCCCTGTACTTTTCTTCGGTCGCCCTGCAGGGCAAACAGGACAGGGCAAAAAAAGAAGTTTGCCCTGAAGTACAGGGCATCAGGGCAACAGGGCAGCCCTGACCTGATGACGGTCTCTGCTCTGCAGCATCACAAAATGTTGTGTGTTTTTTTTATAAAATAAGAAAACGATCATTCATAGTTGATATTTCATTATATTTGAGAAGTATCATTAACCTATAAATACAATATTTATCATGTTTTTCAGTTTTTTGAATAAATCAAAACGAGAATACATCTATTTATTCAACGAAGGAAAATAAAGAACAACTTCTTTCGAATGAAACAATAATCCTAGCGTCTTTATTCGTTTCACCTTAGCACAATTGCGTCGTGTTTCTTCTCTTGTAAAACGTTTTGTTACAGCCTTTAAATCATCAACATTGACTACAAATTCCGTCAGACAAGGTATGAATGCCTTTGTTTCATTTAGAAATTGTTCAACATAATCTCTATGTGCATATCTCACATCGAGTCTAGTCAGATGAAAGTATTCAATAATTGGGTGTAATTGACAATTGTCAGATGAAAATGTAATAAGACCATCTAATACTTGTGATTCTCTATTATAAATACGTAAATGCTTCAGTAATGGAAACGATCGGGCAATTCGAATGAAGAATTCATGTTTGAATGGATTAGTATCTTCTACAAGTAAACATGCAACATAACTGAATACAATATTTGGAAATTTATTGCCAACATGTTTGAGATAATCAAATTCAAAAGGATGTGAGAAAATCGAGCATGCAGCTATATTCCACCTTGAATATAATTGACTATACTCGTGACATGTTCTTGTCCAATATTTGTTAATGTTTGTTGAATATCTTCACTAGATGACTTGTAGAATAAATGAATCGTTTTCAGATAAGTACATATATAGAAAGTGAATGAATGAAGTTGTGGCATATAATCCAAAATATCATGCCGAACATAAGTACCATCAATAACTCTATTTCGACCTTTTATGGGAAGATATAAAGTTAATTTTTCCAGATTTGACATACGACGAATAAGTGATACAATTTTATCATATTGTTTAAATCGACAGAACGATTTTAATGAGAAACATTTTAGATTAAATAATTTATCCTACAAAAAGAAAGAAATGTTTTTTTGACGATCTACAAGATAAAATGATAGGCATCATTATTTTAGACATGATGTATGATCTATATTCTATCTGTGAATGACCACAAATGACAAATCTATTAGTTTGATTTTCCCATTTTACAGCATAATAAACGAGTGTTCAAAGAACAATTAAAGTTTCAGACAAACTTCCAATCATATCTCAATTATTGGAAAAATTGTTATTATAGAAAAACTTTCGTTTCATTCTATGCTGATGATCATTCACATATGATAATATTTAATCAATCATGAAACAGAGCAGTCTAGTTTTCAATGTAAAACTTATCCGATAAAATATTATATAATTATAATTTCTAGCAACAAATTTTATTGATTCTTTTATTAAATTCAAATTTCTAGTAAGTACAAATTTAATGTCAATGATTTTGATATGTTCATCGGTTATGTTCATCAAAACTTATCAGTTTTTCTCCCTTGTCAACATGAAACTTAACCATTCGATCTCTTATTTGAATTTTTTGAGATCAATGGTTAACTGCATTAAAATAGTAATAATCTTCATGTCACAAATAAAATTATTTGTAAAAACTTACCATATTGTGAACAATTTCTGAATACTCGTCTATAGAATAGATATTAACACACAATGTTGTCAATTTTCTAAGTCGACCATCAAGTAAATAAAGACAATCATCAAAAGTTTCCACATTGATATATAAATGAGTAAGAATCGAAGATGAAAAAGTAGTCGATGGCAAATAACAAAGTGATAAACCTGGATACATTGATATAGCATATGGTCCCATAATACTTAATTCTTTTAAATTTTTGAAGAAGGTCAAGATGTGACTATATACGTTTGTAGTATAATCTTCCAATGAATCTATCATTTCGTCTTCATCATCATTGATAAGAGTAAGGTTTGTAATTTGTTCTTGGAAAATAGATCGAAGTGATGGCTCATCTAAAGGAGAAAACAATGAAATGAAACATATTCTAGTCTATTCTATTTAGCACTTTTATTATTTGTCAACTAATCAAATTCATATAAAATGCTTACTTGTAAGATAATCTAAAACGAATATTTGTTTGAAATAAAAAATTTTAAGTTCAGTTAGATTCGGATAGTCAGTGGCAAGAAGAATACATTTCATACAAAATAGATGAGAAACAAAACATTTTACATTATGATGAATTCTTGGTAATATATCGATGCAGAATCGTTCGATTAAAGGATAATCATAAACGGAGGGAACCCTCAGAATGTTGGTGAAAGTGTTTTCTTGTGCAAGAATGTTAAGTCGTCCATTATTATTATCCAATAAAGAATAAAATACATCAACATTGTTCAACTTCTTCAAAATCATAAGTAATATTTCATCAGGTAAATCGAGAAGATGAACATTTGATCGGTTCATATTTTATTATGACTGAGATGCTTTGGATTGAGATAAAGCTATATATACATATATATGTTCATTGTTTGCCTCTCATCACTTTGATATCAAACAGACTGAAAAAAAAAACAGAGTAACCAACGTGATTGATCTATTCCAAAGTTAAATCATTCTGTTTAGACAATTTATTCGTCAATTTAGTCTTAATTCGTTTTATTTTTTCAGCCCGCTTGGTGCCTTTTGCGCCGTTGTCAAATTGAATAGGTCAGCTTATTCACAAAGGTAAAACATTGATGTATCATCATCCAACTCGATCATAGTCATTCAATGCTGTGTGTAGTTTTGAAAGAACTTGAAGGATGACATTGAGGAGAAGAAGAAAGGATATCTTTTTCTTATAGCAGAATCAGTTGAATTTCATTCGTATACTATTTCGTTTACATTTGAGATTTTACCAATTTAAAATCAAATCTGGAATTCTTGCGAAAAGACAGTTCTTTGATGCCTTCAGGACTTTTTGTTAGAAGGAAATTTCACTACATGTTGGAATAATAGAAATGTATAGATCTAGATGTGATCTAGGTACACTGCATACACATGTCTATTGTGAGTCTGACGTTTTCTGTCCACTTGAAAACATGATTAAGCCATTTGATATGTGGTATAATCTCGTCAATGTTGAACTAAGGTGTTTTCATTGTAAAAAAAAAACCGTTAACAATAGGCTTAGAATTCATTCAATGGAAAAAAAAAACTTTGAGAAAAGTATGGATTGTCAAGATAACGGTAAGGATACATACGTACATCATTATGTTTTGTCAAGAAAGATCACATCATATCTATGTAATGAAACGACAGATATTGAGAGAAAGACGGAAGAAAGAAGCGACTAAAACATAGACGATGATCTTGACATAAAAATTCTTGAGAAGCGATTGATAATGACTTTCAAATTGTGTAGAAAAGAAAATTTTAATGATGAAATAATGTGCAATAAGATATAGATAAATAATGGTTCGACGTTTGATCTTAATCTAGAAAAAGGTTGAATTTAGAAAAATAGCGAAGCATTTTTGGAAAAAGTTCCTAAAAGAATACGAGAAATGTCTTCAAGATTAATTCCATTACTTGAAAACAAACCCAACCATGAGTATATCAGCAAAAGTTTTCTGTTGGAACTTTTCAATACATATCGTAGATCGTGAACTTTCACCTCGTCATTATTATAGTTCTCTGAAACTATCATCAGAAGAACGAAATTTTCAGTTAAGAAAAGAAAAGAAAATTTATTTTTGAATTAAACTTTTCCAATCTGTACACAGAGAACAGATGAAGACTTTTGTAGCTTATTTCTCTTTATTTTTTTTTATTTATTAAGAAATTCAAATAAATAATGACTAATGCAAATGTAATCTTTCAAGAATATTTATTGTGTAATTATCAATAGTATAGAAAAAAAGTCTTGAGAATCTTTAGATCTTCGATTAAAATAGAAAACAATAAGGATTTTTTATTGAGATGATTCTGCAAAAAAGATTAAAATTGTGCTTGATCAATTCGTACATGTCGTGCATGATGAACTTCATCAAATATAACTGATTTTGGTTTATTCGATTTTTAAAACAATACATCAATGATAAAACATATGAATAATTCCTATTAATCGTAAATTATAATGAACAAAACAAGAATGAATGATAATGATAATCAGTGTTTTTTATACAGGTTTTTTTTTCTCCGGAGGGACGATTTGAAATTTCGAGGGGACGAAAAATTATTTTCGGGAGAGCCAGCCGTGTGTTCGTAGTGCGATGATCACAAGTTTCGACGAGAGCGAACTCGATTTTCGGGGGACGGGGCGTCTTCCGAGCAAACCTCTAGATAAAACATTGATGATAATCAAAGTCAATGAAGAGAGTTTATACTTATTTGTTTCTTCAATACTATAAAGATTGTTGTTAAATCAATGTGCGATATTGAATTGAATAATTTATTAATTAAATAAGTAATCTTTTTTTTGTTCTCTTTTATTTTTAAATCATAACAAAAAAAAAATAATCATGTTTAACTTCTGCATTGAATAATGTATATAATTACCGACGATATCTTATTGTACGATGATTTAATAATACAGATAATTAATAAGAATTTATTTTAATCGAAAACTTTATGATCTCAGTGGATTAATTATAACTAATTATTTCTTAGATACAAAAAAAAAAAAATTAATTGGCAATTAAGTGAAATTGATTAAAATGTTTTGATATATGTATTACTCTTCAATTCGGATAACTGTCATAAAACTATGCTGGAATTTGGTTCGTTTACGTATTATAAATTAACCGTCAACAATCGTATTATTTCATCTGGAAAGGATTAATTTGATTTAAATTGGTTAAACATTAATATACATTAAATTATCATTATAAAATCTATTTGTGTATATAAGTGACATCTTAAGTATGATCTTGTGAAGTCATAAAGATTCTAAAAAAAATTCCAATCAAGCAATAGATAAGATTTTAATTCTTATAGTAAGATATTAATGTGAGTCCGTATTTTATACCATCTCTTTAAGATTTTTTAATTCGAATATTCTCAATGAAGTTGCCAAACTTTTTTTCAAAATAGTGCGACCTCTGTTTTCTACCGCTGGTCGAACATATGAATTGGTTTACAGAAAAAAAAACTTCTTGAGTCATTCAGTTGTCGGTCGCTTGATTATTTATTTCTTATTCATTTTACTCAATATCTAGACATTTGAAAAATAAAAATGGTAACAACAGCAACAACTTCAGCCGCTACAACGGTTAATCCACGTGAAAAAGCATTAGAAGATTTTCGTAAAAAAATTATGGAACATAAAGAAATTGAAGCTCGTTTAAAACAAAGTATGCAACATGAGCAAAATACAATTATTATTTTATATTTCTTTTTTTTTAGTGCGTGAAGATCTTCGTTCATTAACCAAAGAATATGATAGAAGTGAAAATGATTTAAAAGCATTACAAAGCGTTGGACAAGTAAAATAAAAATTATCAATATTGAATTTATTCTATTTCTATAATTTTAGATCGTTGGTGAAGTATTAAAACAATTAACTGAAGATAAGTGTAAGAAATTTATTTTATAATAAATAAAATAAATATAAAAATTATTCTTTCTTTTTTTTTTTTTGTTTTTTAAAGTTATTGTCAAAGCAACAAATGGTCCTCGATATGTTGTTGGTTGTCGTCGTCAATTAAATAAAGCTAAATTACGTCCCGGTACTCGTGTTGCTCTTGATATGACAACATTAACAGTCATGCGGTAATAAAAATTCAAAAAAAAACAAAATTTTTTTTTATCAAATTTGTTTTTTTTTTCAGTTATTTACCACGAGAAGTTGATCCATTAGTTTATAATATGTCAAATGAAGATCCCGGAAATGTTTCATACAGTGAAGTTGGTGGTTTAAGTGAACAAATTCGTGAATTACGAGAAGTAAAAATTTTTTGAAAATTAATACTTAAAAAAAAAAATATGAATGATTTTAATAGGTTGTAGAATTACCATTAACAAATCCTGAATTATTTCAACGTGTTGGTATAACACCACCAAAAGGTTGTCTTCTTTTTGGTCCACCAGGTAAAATAAAACAAAAAACAAAATATTATTTTAGTTTTTGTTTTTTATAGGCACAGGAAAAACTTTATTAGCTCGAGCAGTAGCTAGTCAACTTGACTGTAATTTTTTAAAAGTTGTTTCAAGTGCTATTGTTGATAAATATATTGGAGAAAGTGCTCGAATGATTCGTGAAATGTTTGCTTATGCTAGAGATCATCAACCATGTATTATTTTTATGGATGAAATTGATGCTATTGGTAAGAAGAAAATTTTGTTTTTGTTTTTTTGTTCAATATAAATTAATTATAATATTAGGTGGACGTCGATTTTCTGAAGGAACATCTGCTGATCGAGAAATTCAACGAACTTTAATGGAAGTTAGTATTTAAGATTTGATATTTAGAATTTTAATGATTATGTTTTTTGTTTTTGTTTTTAGCTTCTTAATCAAATGGATGGTTTTGATACATTAGGAAAAGTTAAAATAATTATGGCAACAAATCGTCCTGATACACTTGATCCTGCATTGATGAGACCTGGTCGACTTGATAGAAAAATTGGTATAAGAAGAAAAAAAATAAAGTCTTCTTTTGAAAATTTAAATTATTATTTATTTTAGAAATTCCTTTACCTAATGAACAAGCTCGTCTTGATATTCTAAAAATTCATGCAGCACCAATTGCTAAACGAGGCGATATTGGTAAAGTTTATATGTTAATTGCAATTTTTTTTTTTTGTTTTGTGTAATTGTTCTAATCGAATGATTTCAATGTTATTCTCTTTGTAGTCTCGCATATACACATTGAATTCTGTTATAGAGTTCACAGTTAGAAAAAAATAATAACATTTTTTAAGCGAGACGCTTGTCTGAAGAAAGAAAAAAAAATATAAATAGGTCATTGTGTCAGTTAGGATATGATTCTATCGAAACATACAATTCATTGGTCTATACATCGTTCTGTTCGCTATATGTCTACTCTCGACATTTGTTAACAGACACTTTCTCTTTTATGTACCATAACACAAAATCATCATTTCTGTAGGCTAGAAAACACTTAAATAAAAGAAATTATGAAAGTTCAAAGTCTAGAATTTATAAATTTATTGTATATTATCTGTGAAGTTGAAAATAATTTAATTTAAAAAAAAAAGATCAAATAAATGAATCAATCAAAATTAGAGTATAGTTGATATGGACATTCTGAAATTTTATTATTTTGAACATGTTTGCATATGGAACAAAATTTCATGAGTATACCATCCTTTATCTAGACGAATATTGAAATTTACTGTTGAATTTAGATCTAAACTTAACATGCAATTAGTTCATACTTTTCTATGTTCGTTCTATCTTGTCGATACTCACAATAAAATTCTCTCACTGTATTAAATACCAAAAATCTATAATATTTAGAATCTATAGTAAATTCATAGAATGATTTGGAAGATTCTAGAAAGTTCGAGATTAGTTTAAGCACTTATATTCCTGACGCACTTTTTCTCATTGCGTATTCAATGTTCCTATCATCAGTTACTATGACCTAGGGTAAGCGGCAAATATTTCAATTTAAACTCATTATCTATTGTGAGTTCTATAAAATAATAATGAGTTTTTTAATACAAAAAAATGTTGATCTATTCTTATTTCAATATTAGAAAAAAGAAAAGACATCGAAGTATCTCTAAAGAATAATTATGATATTTTGAAATTTGTTCAGTCTATTATAACTCACAAATTGCAGTTTTAGTTTCAATAAAATTTTTCTATATTAAATAGAGCTGATTAATCATAACAATTTTAATCATCTAAATTTTACTGAAAAATATTTCCAGTTAAAATAATCCAAATGTATTATAAATTATTCTTTACTATTCATTTTCTCATGAAAAATTGTAAAATATTGAGAAATATTTTCTTTATAATGAATATTCTAATTAGAAATTTTGTTTATGTTAATTTTCCATTTTATTTAGATTATGAAGCTATTGTTAAATTAAGTGATGGTTTTAATGGTGCTGATATGCGTAATGTATGTACCGAAGCTGGTATGTTTGCAATACGTGCTGAACGAGATTATGTTCAAGAAGAAGATTTTTCAAAAGCAGTACGCAAAGTTGCTGAAAGCAAAAAACTTGAATCGAAATTAGATTATAAAGTTCAAGGATCGTCTTAAAAACTGTCTTTTTCTTTTTCTTTTTCTTTTTTTTGTGTTCTATATTTGTTATTTTACAAACAAGAGAGTTCAAAATATATTCAAGCATATAAAATATATTCATTCGCAAAGGACGAGACCAGTTGAGGTTAACCGATAAAGATAAATTTTTCTTTTTTTTGTTCATATTGTTGCCCTGGACGTCGGTCAATCGTTCACAATTTTCTATTTGCCCTCGTTCATAAGAAACAGAAAGGATGTATATATCATATATATACAATCGGTCAACATTTGGTTGGTTAAAAATGATCATCGACAACTAGACGTGCATAGATTTTAATGGGGAGGAGGTCATGAAGCGGTCAAAATTTATTTCCGACGTCCTTTTCTTTTTCTCTACTGAACAATCTTTATTTCTCTCGTTCATTTACTACTTTTACTAAGTTCAGACATACATACTAACTATGCCAGCACGTAAAACAACTGCTCGTTATTCTTTATATCGTACTTTTGTTGATGCTTATATGAAAGCACATCCTGAAAAAACTCGAAGTGTAAGATAAAAAAAAAAAATAAATAATTAAATTTTAATATATATTATTATTTTATTTTAGATATCACATTCAGATGCTCAAGCTGAATGGAATCAATTAAAAACAAATGAAAAAATTGTTCAAGAAAAAATTGATACATATCTTGAAAAATATCATTCAAGTAGTACATCTGGTTTACATATTAATAAAGATGAAAATGAACCAAAAAAAAAGAAAATTCGTGGACGTAAAAAAAAATGTGAAACAACAAATGAAAATGAAAATAATAGTCGTGGTACAAAACGACGTAAAAAACGTGAAGAATCATCTGATCCAGATTTTGATCCTGATTCATCATCAGTACCACCACCATCATCATCATCAAAATCAGAAAAAATTCGTACAGCAGCTGAAATTCTTGCTAAAAAATCAAAAGCACCAGCACAAGATAAAGTTTCAAAAGAACTTCATGAAATTAATGAACGTATTATACAATTAGTACAAGTTAAAAATATGGGTATGGCAACAAATGAACAAGAAAAACAATTAAAAAAACTTTTAGTTGAACAAAAAAAAAAATCTAATGATTTAAAAAGACTTAAAGCTGAACAAGCAGCAAAAAAACGTTATCGAGAAATAAAAAAAGTAAAGAAAAAAAAAAAAAAAAATCAATGTAAAAAAAAAAAAATTATTTACTTTTTTTTTTTTCAGCGTAAAATTGAAGCATTATGTGAAAAAAATCCTGAATTAGCTGCTGAATTAAATAAAATTTATCGACCTGTTATTGGACGACCACCTATTGAAGAAGAATGTCCAGATTTATTACAAATAATTGAAGAAATTGCTAAAGTTGGTGGTGCTGCTGATGATAATCGACGTTCACAAACTATTCGTCCTTGTTTAACATTAGATGATTTACGTGAAAAAATTAAAGAACGTGGTTATGATATTAAACGATCAACACTTTATTATCGGTAATAATTTATTATTTTGTAAATAAATATTAAGAAAAAAAAATTCTTTTTTTATTCAATAGTTTATTACCACATCGTGTTAATTCAGTTGATGGAAAAAAACATGTTCGAACTGTTCCTGTTCGTCTTCGAAAAGCTCTTAATGATGAACATGGCAAACATGAAGGTTTTTTTTTTTTTCCCCTTCCCCCCCCCCCCCCCTCCTTGAGTTACCCTTGCTATTGATTATTTTTCTTCAGATGGTCATTTTGCAACAGCAACAATTCGTTATATTAAAGATTTAGCTGGTATATTTGGTAATGATGTTGTTTTCTTTTTATCACAAGATGATAAATGTAAAGTACCTATTGGTTTACCGGCTGCAAAAATTCAAGCACCTATGCTTATGCATTTGGATTATCGTGTTCGTTTACCCGATCATGATTGGACTGTTGCTCCTCGTCATCAATTGACACCAAGGTACATATATATATATATATTCTTAAGGAAGGAAAAACAAAGATGATCATTTTTCTTTAGTGTTTATGCTGCTTGTATGATGAATGAAAATAATGATGTTGGTTATTCAGGTCCAACTTATATAGCTATTCGTTCAGCTAAACATGATCGTAGTGATGCAAATAGTCATGCATGTGATTTTGATCGTCTTGTTGGTCTTAAAGAATTTGAAAAATCAGTACGTGATTATACAGGACAAGTTAAACCAATTGTTATTATAACAGTTGATGGTGGTCCAGATGAAAATCCACGTTTTCCTAAAACACTTGTTGCTGCAATAAGAAAATTTCGTAAATATAATTTAGATGCATTATTTGTTCTTACACATGCACCAGGTCAATCAGCATATAATGTTGTTGAACGTCGTATGGCACCATTATCACATGATTTAGCTGGTTTAATATTACCACATGATCATTTTGGTACACATTTAAATGATTCTGGTGTAACAGTTAATCCTGACTTAGAACGAACAAATTTTAAAAAAGCAGGTGAAGTATTAGCTGAAGTATGGTGTGGTTCAGTTATTGATGAATATCCTGTTGTTGCTGAATATATTGATCCACCAGTATCAACACAAGAAGAACTACGTATAATTGATGTTAATCTTATTATGAATAATATATTAGATTGGTAATTATAATTAATATATTAAAAAATAGAATAAATTTGTTTTTTTTTAGTGTATGTGCAGAAGAAGAAGCTGAAGAACCAATTGAACGTCGTATTCGACAAACTGATGAATATTATCAAGAAAAAGTTCGTGCACCACGTATTACAACTGATGGAGAATTATTACGAGATCTACCAAAATATGATCTTGATGAGTATGTATTTAAAATAGAAAATTAAATATTTTTATTTTTTAATTTTTATTCTATTTAAGATATTGGTGTGCAACACATGTTCTTCAAACTCAATATACAATTCAAATAGTTCGTTGTAATTCAATAACATGTTGTGGTCCATGGCGTTCAAATTATATACAAATATTTCCTCATCGTTTTCTTCCAGCACCAATTGCATTTGAACGTACACCACGTGGTATTGCTATGGCTGAACGTGATTATCAAAAAGGTATTTTTTATGGTTCATTAATACAACGTATACAATTTCATGGTGTTGTTATGCAACATACACAAAATGATATATTACCATTTGATTATTGTTGTTCAAGTGTACGAAAAGAATTAAAACGACGTGTTTGTTCAATATGTAAACAATATATACCATCAGCATATAGAATGAAAAATCATTATAAAATTCATCAACAACAATATGCATCAAATTGTCTTGATTATGATGAAATAATGTTTAATAATGAAAATAATATAAATGAAAATGATTATGATGATTCAGAAATTCTTAGTAATCAACGACCATTACCAGCTATATCAGATCCATCAGCTAATGGTGTTGTTATTTTTTCGGATATGTTGGATTGGTTAAAATCTGATTTTGAAGAACTTGATTTAAAAGAACAAGTTATTAAACGAGAAGATAAAAAACCAATGCGTTAAAAAAAAAAAAAAAAAAATAATCATTTTTTTTTTTTTTTGGTTTTTTGGATCTTAAATACTGTGTATAAATATATGTGTAGGTGTTTTCTTTTTTGTTTTGTGTTTATGTCTTTTAATGTTTTTTTTTTTTTCATATTATAAAACATTTAGTGTCAGTTTTTTTTTTTTTTTTTTTGATTGTAGCTGTTTGTTTTTTCATTGAAAAAAAATACATGTATACGAATTGAAATTAAATTATGACTTTTATTTAATCATATAAGAAATTAGTTAATATCACATTTTATCATTGAATACTTCTAATGATAGAGGCGAACAACTATGCAAATTTTTCTGTAATTGTATATGCTATCAAAGTCTATTAATATGACAATTGATTGTTGTCAGAATTCTTGTACATCTCATAGTCAAATCATTATCTATGACAGTCAATTTTTTTATTCTTAAATATATTTATTAAAAATAAGTTTATTATGCCCTTTTAATTTGATATTTGAATCTTCTCGAAAATAACAAAGACATTTTTCACTTTTGAATCGTTAGGCGAAGATATCGAAATGTTTTTATTTTATTTGATATGAAATATGAATTTTAAGTAGTTGGGTACGATAAGGATATGGAACTGTACTAGATTGAATAGTGAATATTATTAGATGTACACTCTTAATATTTTGTCGTATCACCAACATTTATTAGAATATCATATAACTAGTATATGACTTATTAAAACTTGCTGAAAAATCAATTTTGTTTTTATATGTGCTAAGAGTTGTTCTATAGAACGGTATAGAGATCATTTTATTATCCTTTAATTGCATCATACATCATATGAATATCACCGAAAAAACTATAAGTTGGATAAATAAATGCAGCTGGTTTATTATGTTCAAATATAAAATGTCCAATCCAAGAAAAACCATAACCCAACAAAAGTGGAATAATTGTTTTTATAAATGAATGTGTTAATAATTTACCACCAGTAAAATAAATTATTAAAAATAAAATTACTTCAGATAAACCAGTTGATAAATGACGAGAAAATGGAATTATTGAATAAGCAGCTAAACCACCTGCTATCATTGGTATTAAAAGAATTGGTTTTGTTAGAATATAAAAAAGAAAAAAACTTGTACCAATATAATGAAATTGACGAGTCATTTTTTGAGTATGTTCATGTAAATAATATGGATAAAATTCTTCAAATGTTTCATATGGTTTTGTTAATGAAATATTTTTCGATATATAATCATTTAATGGTGAAATATTACGCATTTGTATAGTAATACTCGAAAGAATGATTATTAAAGTACAAAGTAAAATACCATACATTGATGACGTACTTTTTTGATTAACAGATATAATTGATTTAACCATTTTTGAAATCTAAAATAAAAAACAAAAAAAATTATATTTCGAAGATTTTTTTTTTTAAATAGTTGTTTTGAACAATAACAATATTATGAAATAAATTTTAATATTTTTTTTTTTTTGAATTTATCTCTTAAAGTTATTAGTAAAACTAAAACTCTTTTTTTTTAACATTTATATTACAATATAAAATTAGAAGACTGTTTCGATTCTTTATCTTTCATATCATGTGAAATGGGTCAAAGTACGTTTAAAAAAAAAAAAAACTTAAATCATTCTCTATATATTACATAAATTTGACATAGATATTGCACTAATTCCTAGAAATTCATTTTTTTTTTGTAACATATTAAATGAACATTATCTCGCTTGACAAGCGATTAGATATACATAGAGAAAGTTCCTTGTCAGTTTTGAGTTTTTTTTTGATTCAAAGCTATGAATCTAAATTTTTTAGATCTAATTCAATAAGAACTAATAAACTTATATCAAAGAGTAAAATATATTATCTAAATTTAATGATGTTTAATAGTTCAATTAGTAAAAATAAAATTATTATCATTTATTGTATAGCGCATGGCAAAATGTAACAAAGCATTCAAATATTATTTCGAAACTAATTGAATATTCTTTAAAAAAAAAACAATTCTCTTGAAAGACTTATTTTGAATTACAGAGCACTTCATATTTTTAATGAGCATGTGTTAACTTGAGATTTGATAATTACACAACTGGCCATAAGTCCCTGGATGTGCGATACTCCCTCATGACTTCAATAATTTTCCATGAAATTTTTACCAGAGATAGAGCTTAAAAAACTGTGATCGCAAGCACCAACCCGAGCTCTATCGATTGATATAATATGGAGTTATGATTCAAACATTAGTTTCATCTCTGTTTATTTGTAAATCAATATTCACAGTTTTTATGAAAAAACAATCGCGATGCTAGAAGACTTGTTTAATCTCTAAGTTGTTTCTTAGCTCATTAATATTAGTCTACTAGTCTCCAGAGATGCCTTTATTGAGCAATAAATGTCCACTGCGTATTCCTGTAACAACTAACGAAACAACCTAAAGATTAAACAAGACCTCTAGTATCTCGAATGTTTTTCATAAAAACTGTGAATATTGTAAACAGAGGTGAAACTAATGTTTGAATCATAACTCCATACTATATCAGTTGATAGAGCTCGGGTTGGTGCTTGCGATCATAGTTTTTTAAGCTCTGTCTCTGGTAAAAATTTCGTGGAAAATTATTGAAGTTATGAGAGAGTATCGCACATCCAGGAACCTATAGCCAATAGTGTAAATAAAAAAATAATTATATGATAAATTTCGTAGTAATAAAGGAAATTTTTTTGTTTTTTTTTATTGTACTTATAAATTTATGCTGTGAAAGTCACTTTAGTTTTTGTTAATTAATTAGTCACTTCTTGGACAAATACGATTATTTAATGATTTTACAACAAAATTTTCATAGTAAATTTTGTGAAAAAAAATTAATTTGTATTTAGATTGATCTGAAGATTACAATAAATAATAAACTATAATTATTATTTCATTCAAAAATTTTAAACAAATATTCTTTATTTATTTAATTTTAATTCTAAAGAAGATTTCAAAGCAAAATGATATAGTTTATAATTTAAAAATAATTGTATTTCATTTTGATGAAAATGTCACAAGTCTTTTAGTAATTAATCAGTAACATAATTTTTCACTTATATGAATATTTTGTTCTGTTGTTAAGATTAAGTGATAATAACCATGTTTAAGTATCTTTTTTTATTTACTCATCAAATGAACATGTCTTTAACATCTCTGTTATTAAATTCTAGGGTATCTTTTTGTTTTTTTTCTTCAAAGAATGCATATCAAACTCTGAAAAACAAAAGAAAAGGATTTAATCGCTGATAGATTTATTCTTTATGAAAAAAAGTTGATTTTGTTATTCATTTATTGAAGTATAATCAATAATAATTAAATAGGAAATAGATTTAATTTAAAATTTATTAAATTGTACTTTAATAAGTATTATATTTTAAGTTATCTTAATTCTGTATTGTACAATGTTAATTATGATAATCTATTTAGATTAAATTAATTAATAAATATATATATTTTTCTTCATATTTTATTCAATCTATGTAAATATAATTCTATATACATAAATACAAAAAAAAAAGCATAATTTGTTCATTTAAGTCCATGTTCTCATTAATTTTTCAATCATTAACTGTTGTACAAATGTATTCCATTGTCTATGATATTGACTTTTATCAAGTTTATGACAAATAGCATTTCGTCGAAAATATTTTCCACGTTCACAATTTTCAAATAAATTTATTTGTTCATTTGTTTCATCGATAATATCATCTATTGAATCATTATCGTCATTGTTATCATTATTATCATCATCATCATTTTCTCCATTTGAAAGATCATCAAAACCAGGTAAAGCTTTTGCAAGACAATATGGAATTGAATCATAAATTTTTTCAAAATCTGGCCATTCAAAATCATAATATGAATCATCAGTTGAAGATGAAAATGATTTATAATTATTAAAACGTATTGATAAACCTCTACTTCTATCTTCACTACGTGTACGATGTTTTCTGCTTATACTTAAACGACGTATAAATCGTGTACATAAATGTTTTATTCGATTATTATTATTCGATTGTAATTGAATTTTTTCTTCATTACATGATAAAGCTCGAGTAGATTTAATCATTTGATTTGTTGTTGATTGTTGAAAATGATGTTCATATTTATCTGATGGATAACTACCAACTACGATATTTTGTCTTTTTTCATCATTAATATTATTTGAATTTTTATCAATTAAACTAATGTTGCGAATACGACGTGGTAATGTTACCGATGACATCAATATGAATTTGTTTATATACTACTATAGTTTTTGATTAAAGACAAACTAGTATTACATACCTCATTTGAAGTTGTTTCTGTGCTTATATATATATATATATATGTTTATATTTATGAGGTACTTGTAAAAATAAAATTGCGCACGATCCAATTAATAGAACTAAAAAAAAATGAATTTGTATGTGACTAAGTTGCTTTTGTTTTTGATAATATTATCATAGATTAAAGAAGAGAATTGTTTGTGTTTGTTTTATTTGAAACATATATTTATCGTAAATCGTTGTTTTTACTGATGATGGAAAATATTTCCTGTTTCTTTGTTTTTGGTCATATCTCATTATATCTAGGGAGAAAAATATTCTATCTATCAAAGCGGAAACATTCGTTTCATATCGATCTAATGAGGTATGATAAAAATAAAAGAAAAACTAATGAACATCATATACTATAATAGAATATATTTTTGGCAAGTACAAATCAAAGGAAATCTAATAGTTTAGATTCTATTTCATGATGTCCTATTTTTTTTTCTTTTTGTTTATATAATACAATATTTTCGATTGATTAATATTCTATGAATTCATATGTAACTAAAAAAAGAAATTTGAGTTGAAAAAAAAAAGATTTTAATATATAATTCATTTCTGAGTGTAATTACAATAGATTAACCATATATTCTTACATTTGTTTATTTTTGCTTTTTTTACAAAACGAACTATCAAACAAATACACGCAAAGTGCAAAAACAAAATAGATAAACACAATTATGTCTTTTGTTTTTTCCAAAGTGGTGCAATATCATTATCATCATCATCATCATCATCTTCTTTTTTCTGATTTGTATCTTGTGTTGATGATTGAAAAATAGGTATTGGTTGAGTTGTTGTATATGCTGGTGCTACCCAATATGGATCTTTTTCACATTTTTCTTGATAACTAAGTAAAATAGCACGAGAATCTTCTTTTTGAGCTGGTGGCTTTTGTAAAGCAATATTCTTAACAATATATGATGATAATGTACCACCATGTACACCAATACGACCACCAGAACCAGCACCACTGACAGGTAAATCTGGTCGTTTTGATTTGACCTAAATAAGACATTCAAAAAATCAAAAATTTCTATTAGATTTCTTTATAAAGAGTGACTCATTCTAAAATATGTCAATACTACTTTTAATGAAGTTTTATAGAGTGAATACATTTTCTTTTTTTTTTATAATACAAAAATCTCTGTAACAAATATAAAAGGCTTTGTTAAAGTAATTCATTGGTATGAAACAAAAAAAAAACAACTTTTATTATTATAATTCCGATAATACTGTAGAATTGTTATTTCATTTAGAAATTTTGCATCTATTTCTGATTTGAAAGATAAAGACTATATATATCCGGTGATGTTGAGTACTACTTATCTGTAAACTCAATAGTCTGATACGTTTCATATAACTAAGACTACTTATATTTCTCGACAGAAAGTCAATCTGACATAGGACTCTTGCACTCTATATACACAAACTAACCGCAAGAGCAAATATATGTCACGACATAGTCAATACACTATCGGACAACTAATTCGAGACAAATAGCTTGTCCAGGATTATTTCATAGCCGGCAGTACGTCAGGGATACATATCAAAACTGGGTTATCGGAAGTTCGCCAATTGACGAAATTCTAAAGGACGAATTGGCAAAAGTATGATGGACTTGTGCCAATCGTTAAAACAAAAGATCAATTTCAAATTTGTGTCGAACAACTCAATCATTTAATCATTATTATATCTTTTTTGAGTCTATATTTCTTTTTTTTTTTTTTTTATCTTTGAAAAAAGAAAATTTTACATACTGGATCTTCTCGATTTTTCATTCGTATAACAGATAAATTTCTAATTCTATCTTGTCTATATAATGGTAAAGCATGTGGATTAATAATATTCATATTAATAAAAAAATCATTTGCTTTCTTTTGTCGTTCTTCACGATTAGCAAATAATAAAGCTCCTTGTTTTGAACGTATTGTATCATAAAATATTTTAATTATACCATTACTTGTTGTACACATTATTTGATTAAGTTTTGAATGCCATAATGTTTTAATAACACTTGCTGTTTCACTTATTTGTATTTGTCCTTCAGGTTGTAAAAGATTATTTCGATTAAAAAAATAAATAGAACCAATATTTGTTGTATCATTTATATTATCATTTGTTTTTTTTCGTGTTGATGTACCAGTTATTAAAAATCTATCATCAGGTGAAAATGTTACATTTGTCATTGAATATCTATTATGTAAATTATTATATTCTGATATTGATTGTTTAAAATTTCTTATATCCCATAATTTAAGTGTATGATCAGTTGATCGTGATGCTAAATTTCTTCCATCATATGACCAACATAATGATGTTATAGAATTATCTGGTTCATGTGCATGTCTTGATATAAATGTAACATTAACAAATGGTCGACGTCTATCCCATATTTGTATACTTCCATCATCACAACCAGCTGTTATTAAATATTCATTTTGTGATACATGTGTATGATAAGTATTATATGTACATGTTGTTGTTGCTGTTTTTTTACCTTGTTCAGATTTTGTTTTTATACATGATACATGTTCAGTACGACGAATTAATGACCATAAACGAATAGTACCATCATCAGAACATGTCATAAATTCCTATGAAAATAGATTTTTTTTTTTTTTGTTTTAAGAAATGAAAAAAAAATATTTTTTTTCTTACATTTAAATCTTTTGGATTCCAACATGCACGATTTAATGTACTAACATGACCTTTTGTCTTTTGCATATCAATTAAATACATATCACCTCGAACACATTCATACATATTTTTTCCTAAAATAAAAAACAAAACAAATTTTGTCAATGAAATTTCTTTAGAGATAAAATACGGAATGTATATGTGTTCTCTTAAGAGCACCCCCCCCCCCCCCCCTTTAACTTTCCCGGGTTTCTGAAGAACGGCTCGGTGAAAAATGATGAAACTTGCAGGGTAGATAGAACTCGAGTAGTAGAGTAAAAGTTGTCATAAACTCAGAATTTCTAGATGCTTCCTTGTATGAGATATAGGAGACGCAGGGACCAAAAATGACCTGAAGTTTTCCCTCTCGCAAACAGCCAAAATTCATTTTTGATGGCTGAATTTTTTTTTGTAGCAACTAGGACCAAATCGGTGTGTATGTTTTTATTTTTTCTTTGAAAAATATTGTTTCCTTCGCTTATGAGCACTAATATACTGAAAGTCCTGTCAAAAAACGTGTTTTTTTGCCATAGGGCAAATTTTGGAAGATCTGCCAAAAACCACCAGAACATTATTTCGAAAAAAGAAAAAAATATATACACCCCGATTTGGTCCTAGTTGCCACACAAAAAATTTCAGCGCAATCGGCCGAAGCGTTTGGGAGAAAAAGGGGGAAAACTTCAATTTTTCTCTAAAAACGTTGATTTTGAGAAAAACGTGAAATAACGTAAAACGACATTTTTTTCGATATTTCGCGTTTTTCATTTTTTTATGCATGGCTATCAATTAATGCAGTTGCAAAGCGGCTAGGAGAATGCATCACTGACCCACACAACACATTTTGATGATGAAATAACTATATTAGTATAGATCATCTACAACACGACAGAGCTATAGAAAGTTGTATTTTTGTATAGGGGATATCTAAAGTCGAGCTTTTTAAGGATCTAAATACACCCACACCCTCAAAATCAGTTGACGCTCTTTATGTTTAACAGAGATGTTCATGGCAGCGCAGCGGCGGCTGTAAGTTTTTTAGGAAGAAAAATCAAAAACTCATGAATTAAAACAAAATCTCGATGTTAATGTGTGCCATACTGTCAAACTTAACGAATGTAATCGATTAGCAGTAACAGTTCTAGTTGACATCAGTCACTGGCTGGAAAATCAATGCATTCTTTTGAAAACTATCCTGACGGCAGCAGCTTTCCTTGGTTTTGACCGCGGTGCGACAAATTTTCAGCTGCGATGGAAATCTCTGATATTTAATAATGTATAGAGTTCATCGGATTCAAAATTTTCGAACTTGCATCTGATCAAGTCTGAGTTTAGAATCGATCAGACGGAGTTCTAATCATATAATGATTGTAGCAAATCAATACATCAACCTTAAAGTTTTGACTATAAATTTTTATCAACATAAAACTCTATTATTTAAAATCTTTAGAAATGTATAGCAATGATTTAAATTTCTCGCGAAAAACTTTGAAATGGTCGAATTTTTTTATTTTACCATCTCGACTAATAACTTTAGCTTGACAACTACCACTTGCAATTAATAACATATCATTTCCTGGACTAAATTCAATTGAACGTAATTGATGAGATTCACATGGAGATATTGCTCGATAATATTGTAATGTTTTATCCATTGTTGGAAAATCCCACATTTTAAGTTCATAATCAAAACCACCGGATATAAGACGTTCACCATTTGAATCAATTGTTAAACATGAAACTGTTTTTGTTCCATGTTTAAGATCAATTTCATGTGTTAAAGGAAAAAATGGTTGTTCATCATCATCAATTCGATCATCATCTTTTTCAATTTGCTAAAATTAAAAAGCAAAATAATTTGATTTAAGATCACATATATAACATTGTATATGTCTACTGTTAGTATATACACAAATACTTTAGATTTTAGAATGAAAAATTTTTTTTCTTTACCTTCGATGAATTGTTATCTTCATCATCACTACTCGTATCTTCATTATCAACAGTTGGTGCAGTAGCAAGATCAATTGATGGACCAAAACCATCATCATCATCATCATCATCATCATTATCGTTTATATTATTATTTGTTGAAGTTTGCATTTTTTTAACAGCTTCATCAGCTTTTAATTTCATTTCTATAATACGTGATTCATTTTCTTCTTTAGCTTTTTCAATTTCATTTGTCCAATCAATTTTTGTTCGTTCTTGTGCACCTAATCGTGCTTGATTCATCATTGCTTGTAAATCAAATGTACGTGCAGTTTTTTTTACTGATGCTGATGGATCAGACATAATTTTTTTTTTTTTTTGTTTCTTCTTTATTACAAATCTAGAAAAACAAGCACAGAGATTGAAACAAAAAAAAAAGTATTTTTTTTTTTTATTTTATACTTTTACAAACTACACAAATGACAGAAAAAGAAAAACTGAACATCATGACAAGATAATAAAAGAAGAAGAAAAAAAGAAAAACACAAGGACCGGGCGTAATAAAAAAAAAACAAAACGAGATTAGAATATATTTACAAAAATCAAATTGATTATTTATATATATATATATATACAAATTTTTATTAAGATTTTTTTTGCGAAATATCCTGATTGATTTTAAGTTGTCGTGTTTCAGATTTAAAACCATGTATATTCTCTTCAGAATATGGATCATCATCAAATAATTCATCAATATCAAGTTCAAGATCAAGTTCATCGTCTTCATCAATTGAAGGAATTTCAATCTAAAATAATTTTTTTTTTGTTTTTGTAATTACAAAATTATTGTTTGTTTGTTTTTTTTTACTTGTTGTCGAGAAGAATTTTGAATATTATTTGAATCTTCCGTACTTGTACTTGCAATTAAAGGTGGTGATAAAGTTGATGATGATGATGCTGGTGTTGTTGGTGATGAAGAATTAAGTGTTGTCATTGATGAACCAGTTGTTTTATTTAGAAATCTTACTGTTGGTGTTCGTACTGAATGAGATTGATGACTTGCTAAACGTGATGTTAGACGAACAACAGGTGCTTTTATTTGATTATGATTTGTTGATTTTAGACGTTTGTTTGAATGAGAACTGCTTGTAGATGATGATAATGAACGTTTTTGATTCTAAAATAGAGGTTAATTATTTTTTTTTGTGACAACGATATTAAGTTTGTGATTGATTTGATTACAAGCAAAAAGATTTTAATAATGTATCTTGCATTAGACACGACAAAAAACTAAACTCAGAAAGAACTTGATTAGAAGTAGTATCTATGCGATCAACCTAAGAGGGAAAAAACAGTACTTCCAGACTATGTCATAATTGTGCATCAGATCTGTTTAGCTATTTCAAGTCTCCTATCGATCTGTGTTACCGTATATTAGCCGGAGGCCAGCCTGCGTAAGTCTATCTGATAATAAAGCCTAAATACTTCACCGTACTCCCGCTTTGGAAGTACAATGAAGTATTTGGGCTTTCGGTTGAGAGTAACTTATATAAACCTGGACTCCAGCTAATATACTGTAACACAGGTCGATAAAAGACTTGAAATAGTTTAACAGATCTGATGCACAGTTATGGCTTACGAGGGAACGTTTTCAACTGTCCAATCGCTTTTGAATTCAGACTCTATGCGTAAGGTAGACTCTAGTGAGATATGAAAGACCTCAACAGGATATGTACTCTTAGGCCTTCTGTCCAGAGTTATAGGCATTTTACTGAAATTTTTAGCTTCTGGCATAGTAAATACTAACAAATCGAATGACGGTATTCCAACCTGAGATTTTGTCTACAGACAGATCTAGTTGTGAAGAACGTTTTCTTTCCGAGATATCAAACGCCAAAAAGACAGAAAATTCTAGCATTGTCTGTGGTATATGAGTGATTTTTTTGACACTTTAATATCTCGGGAAGAAGATGTTCTTTTCAATTGCAATTTTTAGGATATCTTACTCACAACTAGCTCTGTCTGTGCGCAAAAACCTCAGGTCGGAATACCGCCATTCGATATGTTGGTATTGACTATGTCAGAGGCTAAAATTTCAACAAAATGCCTATAACTCTAGACAAAAAGCCTAAGAGCACATATCCTGTTAAGGTTTTTCATATCTCACTAGGTTCTACCTTATGCACAGAGTCTGAATTCAAAAGCGATTGAACAGTTGAAAACGTTCCCTCGTTAGGTTGTAAGTACAGCATTTTCGCTTTTTCTCCTTGGATCAACTTTTCCTCTATTTTCGAAGTCGAAAGAAAAAAAGAAAACTATGCATTTGCATTATTAATAAACGAAACTCAGTGGCTTTGTTTTATGGTAATAGAAAACATTTTCAAATTGTTTTATTCATAACTATTTTCAAAATAAGTGTCATACAAATATTTATAAAGTAAGAGAATGATACTTAATTGTCAAAAAGCCCTATGTTAGATGCAAAAATTTTATTTCTCCAGAAGTATATTTATTAAAATGAAATAAAATCTCTATTTTTACCAAATTTGATGACATTAGATTATGTTGTGATTTTTGACTAGTTGATAATTTTAGTTGATTATCATTTGCTATGATAGATAAGAAAAAAACCAAAAAGAAATAATATAAAATATTTTTTTTTTAATATATTTGAAACATACATGTTGATGAATGTTGTTTATTATGAATAGATTTTTTCATTTGTTCATTTCTTGTTCTCATATAAATTTTCATTTTATCTAATTTTTGTTTTAATTTTCCTAATAATATATTAATTTGTTTATTTTCATCAAAATTTTTTTCATTAATTAATTGTTTTCGTTCATCTTCTAAACCTTTTATTTCAATTTTAGTTGTTATAAAATCAATTTGTAAATTAATACGACGTTCATGTTTTTTTAATATATCTAATTGTTGTTTTAATTTAACACGTTCATATTTAAGAATTTTTTTATTTTTATCACATTGATTATTTAATATTAAATTTTTTTCACATTTTTCAATTTGTTGATTAATATTAAGAATTTTTTTTGATGTTGTTTGAGTTTCTTTTTGTAAAAGTATAAGTACAGATGATGGATTACGATGATCAGATATAACAGGATATGGAAGTTTAATTATAGATTCTTTATGATTATTAATAGATAATTCTTCAATATGAAAATCATCTTTATTTGATAAACATGATGATGAATATAATTCATCAAAATTTATATTTAATGATGAACATAAATCTTTAGTTGTAGTACTATTTTCAATTTCAATAGAATCCGATGACATTCTATAAAAGAAATATAATGTAATTTATTCAATAGATTTCGAAGATTTTTCTATAAGCATCATCTAAATGATTCTTTACAAGTCTGAACAAAAGAAACAATCAAGCTGAAGAAGTACTACTTATAATGTAGGATATTAAACAGATATTTTGAATGAAGAAAACCTTGATTGCAAACATCAGCTCGCCTTCGAGTTAGTGCTATGACATAGACTCATTATTTCAGAGCAAAGATGAGCAGCGTTCACTGACCTGCTCATTTCTGTTTCAGAGTGTACTAAAATCTTGATTATACTCGGGATAAGAATTGAAAATTTGTGCACTTTTCATATATGTTTCGAAATTTTATTTTAAATTGTAAGAATCTCTTTTTTTTTTTCAACATTTTACATTAAACTATGGTATATGCAAAACGTTGGTTGGTTACAACCAACTTCTGTTCTGCAAGTTGATATATAAATATTCTTATAGATTCGTAAAAATTGAGACTAATATTCTCAGCTTCTATTTCAAAAAATGCACAAAAATTTCTATATAAATCTAGAGATTTTGTTTTAAAGATACAAAAGAATTAATTGTCTATGACTTACTAAAAATCCTGATATTTAAAATTTGTTATTCTATAGATTTAAAAACTAAAAGAACAAAAAAAAAATATCATATATATTTTTTTGAATATAATAAAAATACTTACTTAATGTATTGTAGAAATGATATCATAAAATAGAACCATTACGGCTGACGTACATCTAGCAAAAAGTATTAATTAAATAAAAAAAAAAAAAACAAGTTAAAGATAACGAATTAAAATATTTTCATATTTATATATTTATTAAACTATTGTTCGATAGTATTTCAAAAAAAAAATTAATTTTTTTTTTTTGTAATAATATAGACGTGTGTTTTAACTATAATTTGATATTAATAACAACTAATCAAATATGAATAGATGTCAGTGTAATTTTAATCAACAATAAACAAAAAAAAAAGATTAACATTACAAATTTTAAAAATCAAAAAAACTTTAATACAAAAACAAAAAACGGATTTTTTATTTTTTTCTTTTAAATAATTTTCTTTCTAATATATTTATTCTTTGTTCATTATAAATCACCAATAGAAAAAGAAACAACCTTTTTTGTTTATTTATTATTTTCATTTTTATTTCGTCATTCAATATTATCAATTGGGAATTATTGTACTTAATATGTCATCAATTCAAGAACGTCCATCTAAACGTCAACGTACAATTAAAACAGGTCATGATTTAGATACAGTTGAATTTGAAACAAGTGAAGATGTTGAAGTATGTCCAACATTTGATGCTATGAATTTAAATGAAAATCTTCTTCGTGGTATTTATTCATATGGTTTTGAAAAACCATCAGCTATACAACAACGTAGTATACGTCCTATTGTTAAAGGACGTGATGTTATTGCACAAGCACAATCTGGTACAGGTAAAACAGCAACATTTTCAATTGCTATGTTACAAAAATTAGATACAAATATACGTGAAACACAAGCATTAGTTTTATCACCAACACGTGAATTAGCACAACAAATACAAAAAGTTGTTTTAGCTATTGGTGATTTTATGAGTGTACAATGTCATGCATGTATTGGTGGTACAAGTACAGGTGAAGATATGCGTAAACTTGATCATGGACAACATATTGTTAGTGGAACACCAGGAAGAGTTATTGATATGATCAATCGAAGATCTTTACGTATGTATTAGATTTTTTTTTTTATATTTTCGAATAATCATCATCTATTCGATTAATGTGTCATAAATATATGTTATGGTTAAGTTTTTAAATTTGTACGGACAATAATAGAATTCCAATTTTGACTGTAACATATATGTACAACAGAAAAAATGAAAATCAATGTCTAATTTAATTAGTCGGGCTGATTTTTTCCCACTGATAGATAAGACTTGAGAGTTTTTCCGTCAGTTTTTATGAAAGAACGTTTTCAGCTGAGCGTTGCGATTGCAATGATTATTTTTCCTACTATACATACTACATAGTGGTCTTTTTGTTTATATTGATATTTGAGTAATTATATCGAATATTCATTGAGATTAAAAGGTTGCAACTGAAGAGATTTATGAATATTGGCAAAAGCTGTTTCCAAAAAACATTTCAACCGTTGATTTTAAACTTTTGACTAATTAAGCTGTACTACTGAGTTATATATATAATATAACTTTAAGATTGAATTGTTGAGTTCTGAATATTCCATCGATTTGACTTATATCGCGATTTTAAACACATTTGGTGTTTGATATCTCGTGACGAGAAAGAGAGATAGACATTTAAAATTGTTACTATACGTAGAACTAATAACATATGTATTTTTTCTTAAAATTTGAGATATGAAGATTCTTGTATTTTTTTACAATAGTATCCTCAAAATCAAGTTTCTGAAGATATTACTAATTTTATTCGAAAAAAAGTTGGACACCTTAGAAAATCATTGTGAGATCTTAAACAGTGAGAACTAGCAATCCTTCATTTTCGATTCTAATCACTAATAAACTGTGCTCTAAATCGTTATATCGTGATAATATCCGACGTAGAACACTATTATCATGGTCTCTAGATCGAAGTACATTCGTTAAAAATTCAAAAGAATCTACATGCGACCTAGATATTTAAGTACCTACGGATGCGAACGAAAACGATAATATACTTACTAGCGAGATCCTGTGCATACCGCACGGCTGTTTTCTCCTTCAACGTATGATCTAAAACGTTTAACTTTTCATTCAGGAACAGACACTCGATATTATGTATACAGATAGACAGCCCTACGGCTTCATACTCTTATATCGCACATATTTTTATAGTCCACGTAGCATTCGGCCTTATAGCCTTGTATCCTTATTGCCTCAGTCCCGTGAGAACCTATGGCTACCTCCATATTATAGTTCTTCATGTCCTATAGATAGCCCATACAATAGCTCTTGAGGACTTATAGATACTTCCGTATAGTAGCTCTTGAGGACCTATGGATACCCCGATATAACAGCCCTTGAGGACCTTCTCCTTAGTCTTATTTGATCTGGGCACAGAGACGTCAGACAGATACTGAACATTATATATATAGATTTTATGAAATCACTGCTATTTTAAGACTTTTAGAACGAAATTCTGTACTATTCTCAATCAGTTAGGAAGAAATGAGTTGAATTAATGTGGAGAAATTGATTTCTGTTTTTTATCGTAAGGATACTCACCACATACTGTATATACAATATTATTCAACAAGATTTTTTTTTTCTGCTGTCATAATCTCTCGAAAGAATATAAATACTGATTTAAGTCAAGAAAACAAAAACTTAAGTTTTCATTATCTAGAATATAGAAATATAATTTTATATACGATGTTATCTCAGCTGAAAAATATCGTAGAAAACTCGGAGCTGTTTTATTTTGTAAAAGATCGTTTATTCTAACGTTCTATATGCTGAAAACTAGGTTCCGATTGTCCAAATTTTTCTACTGCTTACAACACCGAAAAAAAAATATTTAGAAAATAACAATTAGATCATATTTTAATATGAATCTTTAGTAACAAATTTGTAACATTGATAATTGTACTTGTTATAAGAATTTATTCTATAACACTTTATTGAAAAATAAAAAGCTATGTACTACAACGTATCGTGGAATTATTTCTTAGTTATACATTACTGATTAAAAATATAAGATCAACATAGGTTTTAGTGTTTTTCTTTCTATGACATCAACTAAAATTTTAATTTCTTTGTACTGTTTATGATGACACTCCAAAAACACTAATTTTCAGTCTTTCAGAATGTGTTAATTTTTGTCAGGAGCATTATATATGAAATTTTCATATTGAAATAAATTTGATAGAGTATTCCATTATATATTCACGATAATAATTGACGTTAAGCCAAATGTTTAGTAATGCAGAAAAAGAAAAAGTAGGTCGATCTTATAGTTCTTTTCACTCGTATGATATAGTAAGTAATTATTTATAAAACTTTCCCATAAAAAGAAACATCTTTCTATTTATTATAGATCGGAAATAAAATTTATTGCATTATAAAAAGAAGCTATTTGCTTTTGTTTTTTTTTATCTATTAAAGAATAATGATGTCAAAAAGTTTAAGTCATGCTTTTTGTTTTTTTCTAATTATTTAATTAACGAAAAAGTTATAATTTTCATTAAAATATTTAATGGTATATATCCTCTAAGTTTTCAGAATTCTGAGTAGAAAGATAAAAGAAAAATTATTATTACTTCTTTTGAACTCTGTAAAAGTTCACAACAAGAAAAAAAATGTCATAATGTTCTTTTTTGAAATATTAATGATAATCTAATAGGAGCTTTGAGATCTTATGTTATTAACAAAAGAAGAAGGAGGATTAGTTATACTATTATAAATATTAATATATTTGAATAGTGCTATTTCAAAATGTCGAGATTTATAGATTTGAAAACAAATTTAGAATTATTCTCGTTCATCAAACATTACAGATATATAATCAAAAAAGATCGTATACCGATAGTATCTCATCAGAATTGATGAACTAATTCTATATAATATTTTCTGAAAATTAAATAGAAGTATGATAAAAAATTGTATTTCAAAATAGATACAATAAAACAATTTTCCTATGATGAGTAATAGCAACTATATTATATTTTAAATTTTAATTCTACAGGGATTACAGTAATAGTTATTTTTAGAAAAATTAATATCTACACAACACGACTTGTTTAAATAGACTTTTTACTAAAGAATCTTTGATGGTTTTATAAGGAAGAAAGAGTAAATTTGGAAATTTCAGTATTATGCAGTACTCAAACTTTAGTAGTCATGCACATAGAAATGAAAGATCAGCGTCTTACAATTTCATTTTCTCAGTAATAAAAATATATCGTCTTACAATAAGACTCTACTACCTGTAGGTTTCAACTCCGGAAACCTGTAGTCAAATGTAAAGAAAACATATTATGACTTTTAATCTCATCTATTACTCTCAATTTCGATCTTACTTTTCAAAATTATAAACATTACACTATCTTGTAGAGTTATTTAGTGCATAATGCCTACGCTTATTCCATTAGCAGGTTGTAGAAAGTATCTAATTATCAATGATAAAATTAGACATGAATTTCTAATGTCGTTTACTCGAAATCATTGTCCTACAACTCAATTGAGTATGTGAAATCCTTTTCAACAATTAGAAAGATTTAATTTTTCAAACTATTAAAACTACAATATATGGATACTTGAGAACAGCATATAAAAATGAAAAAAAAACAATAGTTCATATCATGAAACTGTTCTTTTCGATATTCTATATCAAAATTGCAACAAAGATTTTAACCTAAATTTTTTTTTCCAATAATAACTCTCGCGATATTCTGAGAGTTTCTACTCAAATAGAAGATTCCTTTTGTAGATATGCGTTATTTATGGAACTCTTGTATGATAATAACATTTTTAACCAAACATGTTATCTCAGAAGATAAATATATTATTGCAACTGTTCTTATGATAACCTACAATTAGGTCTCAAAGTTCAGTAAAATAATCATAAAATAAAAGTCTAATTGTACAAAAAATTTTTTTTTATACTATAAATTCAAACGAATTTTTCTAATTGCTTAGGATGATAAAAAAATTTATATTTTCAAAAAATCGTTCTATAATTATTAAATTAGTTTCAGTTCGAATTTGAATATCATATTACAATTTTTTTTGTTTTTTATTCTACTTTTTAGGAACACGTCATATAAAAATGTTAATATTAGATGAAGCTGATGAAATGCTTAATCTTGGTTTTAAAGAACAAATCTATGAAGTTTATCGTCATTTACCACCACAAACACAAGTTATACTTGTATCAGCAACATTACCACATGAAATACTTGAAATAACAACAAAATTTATGACTGATCCAATACGTATATTAGTTAAACGTGATGAATTAACACTTGAAGGTATAAAACAATTTTTTGTTGCTGTTGAACGTGAAGAATGGAAATTTGATACATTATGTGATTTATATGATACATTAACAATAACACAAGCTGTTATTTTTTGTAATACTAAACGTAAAGTTAATTGGTTAACAGAAAAAATGCGTGAAGCGAATTTTACTGTTTCATCAATGCATGGTGATATGAAACAAGAAGAACGTGATGCTATTATGAAAGAATTTCGTGCTGGTGATACACGTGTACTTATAACAACTGATGTTTGGGCTCGAGGTAAATTTATAGATATATGATTGATAAGAAAGAAGAAGGAAAAAAAAAACAAGGTGAATTGATTTTTTTTTTTATTTCTAGGTATTGATGTTCAACAAGTTAGTTTGGTTATTAATTATGATCTACCTAATTCTCGTGAATTATATATTCATCGTATTGGTCGTTCTGGTCGATTTGGTCGTAAAGGTGTTGCTATAAGTAAGTTAAAATTATTAATAGGATTATATAAAGAAAAATAATTTTTTTGTTTTTTTTTTGTTTTAGATTTTGTTAAAAATGATGATATTCGTATCTTACGAGATATTGAACAATATTATGCAACACAAATTGATGAAATGCCAATGAATGTTGCTGATCTTATTTGAACGAAATAAAAATAAAATGTACTATTTCATATATCTCTATATGTTATATGGGTGTATCCTATGTTTTTTCTTTTTGTCGTTGTTTGTTTTTGATATATACTTATCCTCCTACTAAAGAATAAAAAAAGGAATATCTCGAACGAATAATTTGTACGTTGATAAGGTTGTTTGGTGCACACATAACTATAACTGTATTACATTTTTAGTGTACAAATAAAACAATAGAAAAGAAATGATATGCAATAGTTGACGTAATCTATGCACTACTTTTCTCGAATAAGTTGAAAGAACAACAAAAAAAAGAAAAAGAAATAAGGCACGAGAAATAATAACGTGCTTTCGTTTCTAGTTATAGCAGACGACGATAGATGGCTGTTCGCAGAGTATGCAACAGAACGGGGAGTACGATTTTTGTTTCTTTCTTTTTTTTTGTTCTTTCTTAACTCAGCGACAGTGCACTGCGTACGAGCCAAGTTAGGGGTATAAATACGGATGCGAATCATTGTTACATACTATAACAAATATTTTTTATGAACGATAATGTTACAATATTTTACAAAATTATTATTTGAATCAAGTTTTATTATGACATTATATTCTGATAACGTTGTCTCATTAATACATAGTATTCGAATTTATTCTCGACCATTTGATGAAATTCTTTATACATACGATTCAAAAACAACAAACAATGAAACTGTTTGTCTTGGTTCATCATCTACAACCAAAGATACATTCATTTGAACGTATTATTAATTCATCATTCAGGTCAATAATCGAAAAATACAGATTCGATGATATGATATATTTAAATGTATCGTATGATTAATTCTTGGCTAGAATTTAGCAAATCCAAAAATGGAAGCAACAAAAATAATTACAGTTGGCTGTCGCCAAACACATTTCTTATAAACATTCTTGCTATTCTGTATAATACAAGTAGACTTTATTGTAATATAGTTGTTGTTTTGTATATATATTTTTTTTTTTTGTAATACATAAAATAATAATAAAAAACAAAAATCAATGAACACTACATTTCGATTGTTTTATTGAACTTGCTTGTTGACAATGAAATACTAAATAAATATCATCAATTAGATAAGTATTATTAAGAAATAAATGATAAGCATTAAAACTATGACAATAATTTTTTGCTGTATAATCAATAAGAAAATGTTTCATTAATGAGTTTGCACTCATAAATGGCCATAAATATTCATCAAGAATAATATTTTGTTCGAATACAAATTTAGAACGAAATAATAAATAAATAATATGTTCATTATCAATATTAATTATTGTTGTATTTAGATCATCAAAATATTTAATTAAACATTCAATATAAAATGGATTTGATGGTATAGTTTTTAAAAGAATATTTAATAAAAATTTCATTAATGAATATTCAATAGAATTATTTGATAAATATATAAAACTATATGGAAGAAAAATTGTATGATTTAATTGATTATAAATTGGTTCAATACCATATGAATATTCTTGTTGATCATATGGTATTAATGAAAATAATTTAATATATTCAAGATATGAAGATATATTAAAATTAAAAAAAAAATTTAATTTTGTTGAATAATATTCAAATGAAATTTTTATTTGATTTAATTCATTAATTAATAGTTTTTTTTCTTCTATAAATAAATGATCAGACTGTTCAATTAATATACGAAAACGATTTATTATATTTTTAAAACTTGTTCTTATTGAATCAAGATGAATCTATAGATAAAATATAAATGAAACAAAAAAAAAACGATATATTAATTGTTTCATATAAGAATAGTCTATTTCTTTCTTTTTTTTTTATCACAAGACAAATTATTACGAAATTAGAGATTATACTCTCGGTACATTTACAAGGTTTAAAGAACTGAAGAAAAAAAAAAAAGATTATCAATAGAACAGAACAAAAAATGTTATGCAAAGGCCAACAAGTAGAATCAGTGAGAACGAGTATAAGTAAATCATTCCTTTAGTCTGAAGAGGAATGTGACCATGATAAAAAAAAAAAAATAAAAGAGTGCAGGGTACAAAGGAATATTTACAGAGCTGAAACAGTACATGTACAATTTTTCAAAAGTCATCGGAGTATACTAAACTTTGTTTTTACGATGTTTTTCTTTAAATAAAAAAAAATGATGATATTGCCTAGATGAAAATACTGAAAATTTTCCATATAAGTAGGCCGGTATATACGTTAAGAATGTCAGATCTGTGACTATGAGTACTAATTTATGAAGAAATGACTCATAAGTTTTAAATCTCAAGTATCATACGCTTAGGTCTATATCAAGATATTGTAAACACTAAGTATCTAGAAGTATTTCTATTGTTATTATTTATCATCTACTTTCAAATGAATAGAACTAAAAAATTTTTATTACATTCAAGTATGAACATATGTTTTGCACTAAGATAGTACTTGATTGTAATCATATAGTAAGATCTACTTTAATAATTCTATTGAATAAGAACTGATGTTGCAAACACTCGAAAGTGCATATTACACACCACACCCCCTTTCTCTTGTTATTTTTAGCTTCTTTTTCGTTTTATATACTCTAATTTTTTTTTTTTACTAATCCTCAGAACAATCATTTCAAAAGTGTCTTAAACGAGTTCAAATAGTATATCACTGTATTCATTTTTTACTTAGTTCTATTAACAAGTGGTTATGAGTTTAATAAAAATGAGAACAAAATGATGTCGTTTTTTACAATATTAATATTGCTAGAAAATGTTGTCAATCAATATCAGCTTTTCCATTTCTTCTATCCGAAACTTATTAGGCACACAACAAAGATTTTAGAAACAGTCAAAAATTCACATTTATTTTTGTTTAGTTAATCTCAATTTATTTCGAATGATTTTGAGAGGTGTATGTTTTGTATTAAACAAAGTCTGAGAAAAATTTCGGAAAGAGTGAACATGAAGAATCACTAGACGTTTGGTAATTCTCAATACTGACGATATATTTTTGTAAGCAAAAATAAATGAATTTCTTAATTGTAGTTGAAAATATTTCTAATATATTGATAATAACTAGATTTTTAGTAGTTCTTCATGACAGTTATGATCAATTTTGAAAACATTCTTTCCGAAATATTTTCATAGATTTTGTCTAATACAATATACAAATTTCAAAATTATATTTGAAATAGATCGAAAACAAAACTAAATAATATGAACTTTCGACCTATTCTGACATCTTTATTTTGTATTTGATGACGTTTGATTAGACCTTATGATAGATAGAGAAAAGAAAAACTCGTACTGGTTGACCTGGTTGACATCGTGTTCTAGAAATTTATTATATGTAATCCTTATATAAAATAATAATTTCGAAATTCTATTGTAAACTACCTGATTTTTATCATCTATTAATTGATTAATTAATGATGGATGATAACAATTTAAAATATCAAAACAACTATTAATATGACATGATAATGTTGAATAATTCATATTATATATATATGTATATGATTTCTTTTTTTGATTAATTTTAAAATTAATTAAATGATGAATATGTGGTTGATAATATGGATAAATAAGATGTCGATAATAATCAAAAAAAATAAAATTAACAAGAGTATCTATTGAAATATTATTTAATAAACGATCATATAACATAATTAAATAAGGCCAATCATTTGAAATAAAATATTCTTGATTATTATTATTATGTAAGAATAAATTAATATTTGATGGAAATTCATTTAATTGTATTCGTTTATCAAGTAATTTATCAAGTAAATAAAGTATACATGAACTATTATTATCAATAGATTGATTTTCTAAAGGTATAATTTGTTCAATAATTTTAAATTCTAATTGAATACGTCGAAGATGTTCAACAAGTGTATGATTATCAGTTATAGTTTCAAGTATACGAATTTGTTTATCAATTAATTTTGTATTAAATTGACGTAAACGATTTTGAAGAAAATTATTTAATAATTGAATTAAATTTTTTAAACCATTTAACGTCTTTAATGATGAAAGACATATATGATAATTGGAGAAAGATAATATTCGTTTCATAATTAAAGAATCTTGATTATATTCTTGTTCATATAATTTGATAGTATCATTTGCTTCTTGTAAAAATTTCATGTAATCATTATTAAAATTTATAAGATTAATAAATGCTGTTTGATTTAATTTTGTTAAATTAGAAAATATATCAATAGGTGAAGGTAATGGACGATGATCAATTCGAATAATAGTTGAATATAATTGATTAGTATTATTCGATGATGAATGTATTATTTTAAAAAATGGATTATATGAAAAACTAATTGATAATGATGTAAAATTTAATGAATTTGTTTGATTAAATAAAGTTAAATATGATCGATATGGTTCTTGTTGAATTAATAAAGTAATATGATGTTCAAATTCATCAAGTAATTGAGATGGTAATTGTGTTTCACATAATTGATATAATTTTGAAACAAATAATTCTAATGATGATATATTACCTAAATATAGAATAAATAAATAAAATTAATAAAGAAGTTTATTATATGTATAATTATACATATATTATTTCTCATTTAATAATATAGAAAGCAAATAGTTATAATCAAGCATTTTTCTTTTTACTTCTCACTCATCAATATCTATCTCCAACACATGTCTAAATAATGAGAGATGATGAATTGAGAATAAGTTACAAAAAAAAAAAAAAAAAAAAAAAAAAGAAAATTGTTTATACCATCACTTGATATTGATTGGCTATTGCTAATATTCATCATTAATTTATTATGTATTCTATGTCGAATACGTTTCCATTTTTGTTTATATTCTTCTTCTTCATCATCATTAATTTTTTCAAATATTTTTCGTCGTATCCATTTATCACAAACAAAATGATAAAAATTTTCACATGGATTTATATTTATATTAACAAAATCTGGTAATTGTCGTTTTTTTGCAATTGAAATTATACCTGAATCATCTGTATTTAGTTTTGGTGAAATCATAAAAATATTACTGTTCAAATGATAAATAATTACAGCTGTTAAAATAAGAATAAATGTAAGACAAAATCCAAAAAGAATACAAGCAAGACGATTAAATAATGATAATGATGATGATGATGATGATGAACCATCCATTGTTGAACTATATAAATAAATATAAGTGTGTTGTGACCGTCGTCGGCAACAACACAATCGACTTAACCATGAACAACACTCAGGCATTTTATTGAAAATTGATAATACTATTGATTAACATAATTTAAAAAAATATAATAAATAAAACTTACATGCAAATAATTCAACATTGTTTTAATGATTACATGCATGAATGATAATGACAAAGAAATCTTATTGTCATATTAAGAGAGCATCGAAACAGATTATGTTGATGAATTGAAGAACGAAAAGAGAAGAAGAAAAAAAAAACAAACCACCTTGAAAATAATCAATTGTTTATATATGAATATCTATTTTCTTCTTTTATTTGATCTACATTAAGCCACAAGGGTACAATGAATTAATAAAATGTGTGTACGTGTATGGAGGGATATGATGTTCTTATCGATTCTTTCTCATTATGCATCGTTTACGATAACTATTAGTTTATTTTCTGGGTTATTAGTCAGTTACTCATCTTTTATTGGGTATGTTTCATTGCATATATATATATATATATATGACAAAGAGAAAACATACAATCTAAGCCTATTGAACTTACACGCATGTGTGAATGATTGAACAAGCATTGGTACTAGTTAACTACTTGTCAGTTCATTTGCTATTCCATCACTCATTCTAACATCAACAAAAAAAAAAAATGAGAATAAGAAAGACAAATTTAATGGGATGGCACGAGCATATATATATATTTATATATGTATGATTTTAAGTCGGATGATCAAATTCAAGAAATGACATTTTCTGGGTTGAATAGAATAGTCAGATCTCATTAAGGGTAGTAATGTTGAATATGTCTTTTTCTCCTGACAATGCATATATATATATATATATGTGTGTGTGTGTGTGTGTAATAACTATATAACATTGTTACTGATTCTTTCTTTTTTTTTTCAATTATCCATTAGGTAGGCGGAGAAAATGAAAGCATAGTATTATAGATGTACCATCAAACGGTCAAACAATCTCTTGTGTTCTCTTTTAATCTTTTACTTATATTGAAATTATAGACGAGTGTCTGCTTTCTTTTATATATATTTTACTAGATGCATAAGAAGTGAGAAAAGAAGACAAATTATACTTGACAACATTCGGACCATATCAACATACCGTCAAATTGAAAAATTGTTATATCAAAGCATGCGCTCAAGTAGCAACTTGACTCGATATAGAATTGAATATTGATCAATACTAAAACTATTCTTTCAAGTTATAACATACATACGTACATATACATATATATATATATATTGTCTAGAGGGAAGCGAGGTGAGAATGACGTTAAAATGACTCTCGACTTTTTTTTTTTTTTGTTTTATTTGAACTAAATTTATATTGTATATTGATATAAGATATGTAATAAAAAGAGAAATAGCAATTCAATCAACAAAAGAAAAAATGGATTGAATTGAACAAGCAACGAGAGAGAAAAAAAAGCGCGCACGAAAAAGAGAGGTGTATGTGCCCTATGAGACTATTTTCTCTATAGTCTCTTCTCATGATAGAATATGTTAATAACAAAGTATTAACACTTTTTTTTTTTGAAAACTAATATACTAAATTAAAGAGGAACAAAATAAAAATGAGTATGCATGACAGATAATTACAATACTCAAGGAAAATCGACAAGTAGATCTTCATCTCTCTTTTTTTTTTTTTTTTTTTTTCGGTGAAGAAGAAAAAAAAAAAAAGAAAAACGAGAATTTTTGGCCATCATAGCCGAATTTTATACTTGTCAAATGCCGGCTCATTTAATCGGAAATTTGAAGAGTATACTTCACTTATATTCTTGATGATGTATGAACGAGAAGAGAAACCATTTAGTACATCAATTATATATGAACTTTTAATTAAATAAAGATGTTATCTCGTTTAGTTCAACGAATCATAAAAAGAATATATACTATTTAAAAATATATGACTATTATTGAATTGATAATTATTTTCTAAAGAAAAAAAAAACTGATAGTTATAGACATTAATTCCATGTTGTTCTATCAGATGTTCTTGTTATTTATTAATAATTTGACTAGTCGACAAATTAAATTTTCTATGTAATGAACTATATGACATCATATTGATATTATGAAAGAAAACAAATTTACAAAATAATTAATCTTCTTCAGACAATTTATTGTTAAGTAAAAACAAATCAACAGTTTCATGAAATAGACTTTTTCAAAATAAGAAAAATTCCTTGAGGAATTAATATGAATACCTTCAAAAGAAAGTTTGCTCATTAGATCATACAGCTGTTCTTTTCAATAAAGAGTAAGACAAATGACTATCATTTATGATCGATATTCTTTTGTAGGCCAACAAGAATATGATTAATTTTTGATTGTTTTAGCAAAAGACTAGTGAACATTATATTGTTAATGAATGACGAACACATCAACAGAAGAAAAAAAAACTAATTTTCTTTTTTGTCTACAACAGTCATTTGACATTTCTTTATTGGCAAAGATAAAAAAACGAACTCATTAAACATCATATAACAAATAAAAATGCATGATATATATGTATATGGCTAGTTTTGAAAATATGATTATATCTAAATTTTTCCTATTCTATTTATAAATTGTTTTGTTTTTTTAATATTCTTGTACATCCATGTAAAAAAAAATTTTCATCATCACTTATTGTTGATAATAAAAGTTTTTTTGCATTTTCACTAACACCTTGTAAAATAAATACTTGACATTTATCTATTTTATTAATAATATCACTAGCAATCATCACTTTATTATGCATTGATCCTGTTACATCAATAATTGATGATTGTTGATCATAATTATCAATTTTATTTTCATTAATATAAAATTTTTCAATAATATTTCCATTTGATTGATAAACACCTGGTACAGAAGTTAAAAATATACATTGTCGTGGTTGAAAATATTCTGCTAATTTAAATAAAAGATTATCACCACTTAATATATTCCAATGAATTTTTTTATCTAATAATATATCACCATGTAAAAGTGGAACAAAACCATTTGAAAGTATAATTTCTATATGTTGATAAAGATTTTTATAATTTTCATTTGTTAATTCAAATTGATTTGATATAAGAAAATCAAATGGTGATATACAAACAACTGGTATTTGTGCATGAATAAATGCATTTAATAAATATTGTTGTAAACGATTTAATGATCGTCTTGTATCACAAACACCTAAACAATATTCTTCATAATTATCAGTATTTTTATAACCTTCATTTAATTTATATTGTTTAGCTTGATGATGACTAAATAAAAAGAAAATATTTAATGTTTTTTTTTTTTTTTTTGTTTATATAAAAATTATTAATATACCCAAATGATCCAGCACCATGTATTAATATTAAATTTTGATAATTATTTTTAAATAAATCAACAATAAAATCAATATTTGATAATTTAACATGTTCAAATTGACTTTTATCTGTTATTGATGCACCTCCTATTTTTACAATACGTGTTACCATATAAAATAAAATAAACAAAAAATATCTATGTTAGTAATAGAAATTTTTAGTAACATATTATTATTCATCGAACATTGTATTAGAAAAATAATATATATATTGATTATTTATATTCATTTATTTTTAAGTTTTATTTTGAATTAATTAAGTAATTATTTTAGCTATCTAAAAATTAATTATATATTATAATGAATTTCTTAAAATTTATATAGAATGAACCATAAAAATATTTTTATAATAATAAAAGTGTTCAAAGTTGTTAAAAAGTTTTAGAATCATCTATTGTTATTTATATATTTTTCCTTTCTATTCTTTTGTCATTAGTATTTTTCCCTTTAACCATTTGGTCATATGTATTGTTCTATATACAGGTATTTTTCTTTTTTCTATTTATCATGTTCTAACAAATGTTTTATTCTTATATATATACCTTGGTTATTTCCCTTTAACGTCTAACTACTAAATATATATAAAGTGGTCGAGATATCGATGAAATACATGTCATAGACTTATCTATAATCTCACAAAATTTTTTATTTTTATTTTTTTCATAAAACTAATAATAAATATTGATTTTAATTATCGACATTCAGTTCAATACAATAGTATTACATCATTTTGAGCATATGAGCTTTCTATTACACTTTTTTTTGTATGTATCATTTTAGATTTTTGAATAAAGATATCATCTATAAAGAATGTCGAAGGTAAAAGAAAAAAAAAAAAAACTTTTAGAAAAATGAAGAAAATGAATGCAAATAACATTCGAAAATGTAACAATGTTCATATTAGAGATATGAATGGCTAGCAGACTTCTGCGTAACCACGATTTTTCAGTCACAATCACGGTCATATTCACGGAAATTTTTCGAAACTAATTACGGTGACGGAAATTCTGAATTACTAGCTGAATTTTTTGTGCTACAAAATCAAGATTTATATTGATTTGACAGATTTCCTCTGTAATAAAACGCAGAAAACACGTAAATCAATTAAAATCTTGATTTATTAGATTTCTAATCTCAAAAATTTTTCACCATTAAGTCACGACAATTTTTCGAAAACTAGCCACGGTCACGAGAGGTCGTAATCGTTTTGCAGAAGTCTAATGGCTAGTTTCTTTTTGACTTGGTCTATAAATTAATACAAATTTTAATAGTTATCAATTTGTTAATTTTTTCAATTGTTTATGAAATTAAAGTTTTCATAATTCGAATATTATGTTTTATTTATATAAACGTTATTAGTGAGTTGAATCAAAACTTGTCAACACATCTGATTCATATTTCTACTTCACAAAAAAAAATACTTATCAGCTTATATATCAATACAATATTCAACAGATCCATTTTTCATTGAAAAATATTCTTCAACATTTCGCGGAAAAAATTATATGACAAAAAAAAAATCGAAATATTTATAATAAATGTTTAGACATTCGTTATGAATATTTATCTTGACCTTTTTTTTTTCTTATTGCTATCTAATATTAAAATCATAAATATATCTATGAAATATTCTACATTTCTTTTCAAATCCGTGAAAGGTTATACTACCGTATCAAAATAAATTTTTGATGATAATATTCATTTATGATTCTCCTATGAAAAAAAAAAACTTAAAATACTCTTCTATTATTGATTAAATAAAAAAAAAATTCGTTCACTATTTTATCGTACATATGGTTATAGGCTATTTTTTTTACCATTCTGTTCTCTTGTAAAACTCAATTCAATATATATATATATAATGTCTTCTTTTTATTGGACGCACTTAAATACCCTTTAGAATGGATTCATATATATGTGTTATTATTGTTAAAAAGAAGAGAGACGTCAAATGTTTGTTTTTTCTTTTTATTTCATAAAAAAATTTCAAATATTTTTAGATGAAATTATTCTATACATTAATACAATATTTTTTATTGACTTATTTTTGTTTTGGTCATGATCTTCATCATACCGATCAAGACATAGTCAAACAATCGGAATCAACAATAGCTAATGATTTATCTAATAAAACTATAGGTAAATTTGACAATTTTGTTTTTTTTCTATATTAAGAAATAAAAAAAAAAAAACAAAAAGTTTATATAATTTTTTTTTTTTTTTTGTTAGAAATTACAAATTCTCCAAAAACGAATATTGAAGATCTACATAATCCTATTGATGTTCGTTTTCAAGCAATACATGATTTAAAAAATTCAATATATGAATCTAGTCAAAATGATAATGAAGAACAAATACAATCTACAACATTATCATTACAAAATCAACCATCAATAATAAATGAGAATGATTTAATATCTTCTTCTACATTACAAACAAATGAACAATTAAAATTATCAACAATAGAAACATTAATAAGTACTGATACAATAAAACAAATTCCAATTTCAAATGATAAATTAAATCCAAAAATAATTCATAAAGATGATTTATCTTCTAATCAACAAGAACAAATAAAATCAATATCTAATACACAATCATCTATTTCTCATACAATAAATAATAGTAATTTATCAGATAAAAATTTACAAATTCCAATAATAAATAATATGTCAATAGTAGAAGATGATATTCATATTCCAGTATCAACAACATCGAAATTTCATCAAAATATACATCTACATTCTCAACAAGAAAATGAAAATATTTCTATAACAGGTAGTAAATATATTATATTTTAATTTTGTAGAATAATTTAATGTCAATATTTTATTCAGATTTACTCGTTCGAAAAAGATATGATTTAAATGTTAAACTAATCTTTGAAGAGATGCTATTTTCAAACTAAATAAAACAATATCTATTCCATACAAGAAATAGAATCCTTAGTTTGACATTGAATTGGATTAAAAGATTTTTCTCTATTGTAGAAAGTTGTTAATCCAGTTACTAGAGGATTAAAATATGAAATATGAGATAATTGTTGTTTGTTAATCATACGGAAATTGTTTCAGATTTGCTTAAACATGAAGAAAAAATTCATAGAAGTAAATAAAGAATTTGATTTTCTTAACGTTATAATACGTGAAGATGATCATTCAAATTATATTTTAAACTATAGATATAAGTTTTCTCTATCCAAATCACATATCAAAACCGAAATTTCATTGGAAACGACAGATCATTTTCATAAGCTTTTTGCAATGTTTTGTAAAAATGATTTCGTTTTATACAATATTGAAGAAAAAGATGCCCTAGTGTCTTCTCTTTCGATTGATGAAAATCGCAGCTCTCTAGATCTTTCCTTTCTTGAGTTATTGCAAAAATGACCACGACTATAATTCTTTTTTAACAGATGATAGTTCTAAAAGAATTCTATTGATATACAGTCTGTGATTCTAAAGTTTTACTCCTATGCTTCAATATTCCCTTTAGATCGTGTTTAACTATACACATAACTTCTATATTGTTTTTATATTAAATTAAATTTTCTGACATAATGTAATCCAACCCAAGCTCAATAAAGTTGTTATCGCAATTCCTACGAGATAATAATGTAAAACACGATGTAGCCATTGTTGCTAATAATAGACAAATTGTTTCATTTTATCGACTCTGAGACACATTTCTTCATTATCCTGTTACTTAATACTTCAGAAATATAAGTGTGACATGGAAGTGGAGACGACGTACAAATTTCTATCAGATTTCAAAAGATAAATATTATTTTTTATATTCTTAAAATCCATCTTCTATCCTAATATCAAAGGAAATAATAGCTTCTAACTATTTATATCTAAATTGTTCTAAGTTTTAATAATATAGATAAACATATGATATATTAATTGATAGAGTTGATAATGAAATTTTAGAATCAAAAATACTTTTTATTATATTAAATAAATTCTTTATTAGATGATCATCAAACAGAAAATGTGATTGTTGAATCATACAACGATGAACAAAAACATTTACATGAATCATTATTAAAATCAGAAGAATCCGATATTACATTACCTTTATCATCAACAATAGATCATACACAAACAAATAATAATACAAATCAATATTTATCTAAAATTGAACCAAAAGTAAATGATTTTTTTTTGCACATAATTTCAAAATTTTAAATTATTTTCTTTTTATTATTATTTTAGATAAATAATAGTCAAAATTTCATTTCAATAGTAAACAATAATAATTCAATATTAATAAATAAATATCGACAAATATGTTGGCATTTACCAAAAAGATTTGAAACAAGTATTGAATTAATTGAAAATGAAATTTTTCGTTTTATCAACATTGTATGAACAATTATGTTTTTAATTTCTTATATATTCAATAAAATCTTATTTTTTTTACATAGTTACCCATATTTCTACAAACAATTTTATTTCAACATAATGATGATCGTGAAATTCTAATGAATACAATATGGTTTTTATCAAGTTGTACAATGTGTTTTTTATTTAGTTTAATATTTCTTTTTATGGGTACAAAACGTTTAAAACAAAGTAAATATGAAAAAGAAATTCGTATAAATTGTCAACAACTTCAACAAAAATATAATCGTATTGAACTTGAACGTGCAACATTTGAACGAGAAAATCAAAAGTAAAATAATAATAATAAAAAAAGAAATTCTTTTTTTATTTTGTTAATTTAATTTTAATTTAGATTATTGGATGAAATAAATAAATTAAAATGTTTACCTGAACAAAATTCAGATGAAGATATTTTTCTATTACGTGAAGAATGTATTCGTTATCAAGAAGATTTAAAAACAGCACATACAAAACATATATATTTACAACAAGATATTGATTATAAACAAAATCTTATTTTAAAACATGAATATGATTTACAACGACAACTAGAAACAATTACACATTTAAATAATGAGGTAATATTAAAATTAGAATTGATACTATTATCGATAGTTTGTTAAATATACATCAAGTTTTTTTTTATAAATATTACTGATAAAAAGTTAAGTGTGTATCCTATAAGTAGAGTTGTAAACCGTACAGAGCTGAGCCACTGACACGAACGAAAATTTTTGATAATAGTATAAGATGCCGCCGTTGACATTTTTAAGAGCAAATACGTTTTTTTTTTGATTGTTAAAGCTGCCGGTGCAGAAAAACATTAAGTCTAGCAGCTGATGTTTGACTCCTTGGTTTACACTTCTACCTACAAGACTTCTGAAGGATATTTCCAAACATTCGTAGTAAATATTTACGATGAAAAATTTTTAGACTTTGTAATAGAATGATACCTCAGCAGTTACCCCTAACTTGATATGGTTAGATTAGAAATTCAATAGAATAGTGAAAATTGAATGACTCAATCTATTTTCATCCTTACTGTTGTTACGATAATTATTTATCTAAATCAGAGTATGAAAAGTAATGTGAGGTGAAGATATTAAAATCTCTGTTGAATTGGCCTCTGCCAATCTACAATTATTCAAATAGATAAAACATCACAGAACTGACGTATACTGGTATTTCAGTTGTTTTTTTTTCAAGACTTGAAACCGTTCATATCTCAATAATATTTGCAGAACATAAAAACGTCACAATAAAAGAGCAAGATTTTACGTTGATTGAATTCATAGTTTGTTCATATGTAAAACACTTTGAGAACAATGAATGTCCGCTCTCGTACCTTATTCTTCTGAAGCTATGACCGTTGTGTTAAATATGATTTCTTCTTGAGATTTTAATATCTTATATACAAAGATCGGAATATCAACTTTTTTTTTATCCTTTAATAATTCGAGAAGGAATCCTATGTTTCAAGTGTTACTTTCCTAAGCGATCTAATAATTCCACAGAACAATCATAATTCCAGAAGGACAAGGTATGAGGCCAAAATCTTTTGAATTTCTACTAGTCTCACCGAAACAATAAGCACAAAGAAATTTCAGTACTATAAAACTTAAACACACAAAAAACTTAAGGTAAATATCACGTCTATTGAAAGATCAATGCATGTCTATGGATGTGAGTGTTAATCTTCTCGTCATTCCCATCCGCACACCCAAACCCATATCGTTTATAATCACTATCTTTCGTCTACATAAATCTTTGATGCTAAAATTTTCTTGTACTCATCATTTGCTAATCCAAATCCTGCAAATCATAAATTCGAGTGACATCCAATAATTCGGACATATTTCTTCTTCGTATGATATGAGCATGAATAATCAACAAAAAATGAATTATAATTGTTGTTCATATTAAGATATATATTAATCATGAGTTTTAAAATCATAGACAAACACTATTTAGTTGCATGTTTAAACGAAATAATTTATTCGAAAAAAAAAAAAAATTCTATATAATTTTTATTTTCTCGATATATTAGATTCTTCAATTAAAACAAGAATTAGAAAAAGAACAAGGAACTATAGTACGTTTACAATCAAATGATTTATCTTTGGAAAATTTTGAAAAATCACAAGAAATTATTCAAATACTTAAATCTGAAATAATTCAATTAAAACAAGAAAAATTAATTCAAAATAATCATATAAAAGAAATTCAAGAACATGCTAATCAAATTGATATTGAAAATAATCAATTAATACTTCGAATGAAACAATTAAAAGATTTATTTGAACAACATGATCAAACAATAAATCATATACATGATAAAATTACTAAAAATAAAACATTAGGTTACATTAAATCTTTTTTTAAACATTTTTCTTAATAATAAATTATTTTCTTTTTTATAGAATTAGAAGATTTACGTACAATATTAACAAAAAATTCTTCAAATAATAATCAACATCTTCTATCAATAATTGATAATGATATTAAAAAGTCAAATCAACATATACGAGAATTATATAATGAAATTGATATAAAAACTTCTCGTATACAAGAACTTGATACATTACTTAAACAAGAAAAAGATCATTGTAAAGAAATTGAAACTAAACTTAAAATTATATTAGAATTACGTGAACGTGATACTCATTTACATATACGTCAATTAGGACAAACAGATGCTGAATTACGTAAAGCAAGAACAGATACAGAACGTATTCGTATTTTACAACAACAACTTCAATTAAAACAGTATAAAATTTTTTCTTTTTTTTTTTAATAAAATAAGTTTTATTTTATCAATTTAGACAACAATTAGATGATATACAAAAAATTCTTTCAACTGAACAAATTAAATTTAATGAAGAATGTAGTAAATTACAACATGAAACACATGAAAAATGGATGGAAGTCAAACGTTTAACACGAGAACTTGAATTATCAAAAAAAGAATGTGAAAGTCTACGAAAACAGTAGGTTTTTATCTGAATTATTATTTATATTTCATTGTTTATTATTCAATTGATAGAATTACTAAATATGCAAAGAATACACGTTCTTCACAAGAAAAATCAACTACTAAATCAGCATCACAACATATGAGAAATATCGGTAAGAAAACAATTGAATAATGAATAAGTTTTGAATTTTTTCTTTTTTTTTTTTAATTTTAGGAGAATTAGACTCACAACATAGTTCACCAATTCATTATCAACAAGATGAAAAGTAATAAAAGTTATCAAGTTAATAAAAGTTCATTATCTACTTTTTTTTTTCCTTCATTTTAGTTTTAAACCCATTGATTATCAACATAATGATTCTGGTGGTACTAGTCCAACTGAAATGTTTATACCTAGTAAATAGTCTTTTTTAATTTTTTTTTAAATCTTTCTCTAATAAACTATTTTTATTTAAAAAAAAAAAAAAGGACCAACTTTGTTTAATCTACCTCGACCTCCATTTTTTCCACCACCATTTATGTCTTATCCACAACCTAATTCATTTATGATGCATCCAAGATTTCCAATGACACCTGTTGGTCCACATGGAATTATATCACCTATTTCACATTTGATAACTAATGGTAATGATACAAATAATTCAGAAATGATTGATTCATCAAATATAACTCCAAATTCAATGAATTATGATACACAATCAAATGGAATAACTACATTATCTTTACCTGATGGTAAAAATTTTTGAAAAATATTTCAAATAAATAATAATAAATTTTCTTATATATCATAGATGAACAACAAATAAAAACAAAAAAAACAAAAAAATCACTAAAAAAAAAGACAAAAACATCAGGAATAACAGTAATAAAAGAAGATATATAATCAGTATTTAATAAAAGAGAAAAAAAAAAAGAAACTTGTTTTAATACTGATATATATATATATATATTGTTTTATATTTTTTTCGCTTGTTAAACATAACATTTTCTTTTTTCTTTTTGATATAATTTCATGTGAACGTATTATTGTTATTATTATTTATAATTAAAATTTTAAAGAAACAAGAAATTTATACAGTATTTTACTGTGATTTCATATATTGATTTCTATCAACATTGGTCTATTGTGAAAAATGAATACTTTTATTTTATTTGTTATTTGTTTCTATATTGTTTCTGTTGCTTATATAATATTTATCATGAAATAAAAAAAAAAAAGGACAAAAAAAAAACTACCTATTATCATGTACAATTTTTCAATAATAAAAACGAATAAAATTCTATACAAGAACACCATTTGACATACGGAAAGCAAAAAACGGTTCCTTTTTGAATATAATACAAAAAACAAAAAAAACAAAATTCCAAAGGAAAAAATACAATAATATCGAGCAATTGAAAAATGATATCAGAAAGACATAAAATCAAATGAATGACAGATAAAATATTAATATGATTAAAATTAATAATTGATAATCAAATTAGAGAACATTGATAATTTGTTATGTATTTTGTCTTATTTCGAAAAATTGTATTGTCATTCAAAGTCAAAATTTGTAATTATTTAGTTCTAATGAGGAAACTGTTCGAATTGTAATTTACTGTTCGAGCTCATCATTAAACCTTCAAGAAAGTTTCGGCATGAATAGAAAAATCTTAAAAGAGTTCGTGTCTACGAATCTTTGAAGGCGAGTTATGACCACTTTATTCAATTTTCGACCGACGATTTCGTCAATAGATAGACCTAGTCATCCTTCTATTTGTGACAGTTTCGTCTTAGATACATCCTATAATCTACTAAACTTTTGCTTTTATTTTTATACAAGAATGAAAAATATTACATTCGTTCTAGAATTCTAAAACATTCTCTTATAACAAACAATAAACCGAGTCAAAATATATCGCCATTTGATAACTTTTTCAAATGCCATCATTACACAACAAGAATATGATAAAGCTCTTCAATTTTGTTCTTTCTTACTTCACATCGATGTAGAGAATAAAAAGATAAAATAAATAGATTGCATGTCATAACTTCAGATATCATATATACAAAACACTTATATCCCCTTGACTGTAAGAATAAGTTGAATGTAAATGTATTTATTGAATATATTGAATTAAAACTTTAATCATATTATTATCAGTGTTACATGAATATATTTCTATTCTATTCAGACATCTTAATACTCTTTGTACAGATAAAAATTTTTCATTTTTGGTATGAAAGATGATTATTGAAGAACAATACAATGAAATTTTTTCTTTTTGTAGATTTAAATATAAAAAAAAATCCATTAAGATGAATTATGAACGAATGTCTATTGAAATTGAATCACCTGAACAAATGGGTTATGAAAATCTTAAATTTAATTTAGCTGAAAGTTCAATTCCAGATATGAAACTTGCTGATTTAAATATCAATTTACAAGAACTTGTTATGGCTTATGGAGATCATATGGGTCATCGAAAATTACGTGAATTAATTGCTAAAGATGCTAATGTACAAGTTGATGATGTTTTACTTACAACAGGTGCAGCAACTGCTCTATTTATTGTTTCAACTAGTCTACTTAGAAAAAATGATCAAATATTAATCGAACGTCCTAATTATGCAACAAATATTGAAACATCACGTGCTATTGGTGCTCAAATTGATTTTATTGAACTTCAATTTGAAAATGAATTTCGTTTATCAATAGATGAAATTGAAAATAAAATTAAATCTAATGAAACAAAATTAATTAGTATAACTGTACCTAATAATCCAACAGGTACAGTTATATCACATGATGATCTTGATAAACTTATATTACTTACTAAAAATAAAGGTATTACATTACTCGTTGATGAAACATATCGTGATATGACATTTAAAAATAGACTTCCTGTCGCAGCATCTCTTGCATTACATGTTATATCAGTTTCATCATTATCAAAAACATATGGTCTCGCAGGAATTCGAATTGGATGGTTAATATGTCAAGATAAAAAACTTATGCAAATATTTTTAGCTGCTAAAGAACAAATTATGATTTGTTGTTCTGTTGTTGATGAAGAAATTGCTTATCGCTGTATGTTAACACGTGATAAACGATTATTATTAGTTCAAGAAGAAATACAAATTCGATTTAATATTATGAAAAAATGGATAAATGAAACAAATCAATATCTTGAATGGATAGAACCACAAGGAGGTGTTGTTTGTTTTCCAAGAATAAAAGTTAATATTGAATTTGAAGAATTCTATAAAATATTAAATAATACATTTCAAACATTTGTTGGACCAGGACATTGGTTTGATATGAATAAAAACTTTATGCGAATTGGTTATGGTTGGCCATCAACACGTGATGAACTTATACAAGGATTAAAAAATATCACATCTACAATTGAACTTTGCTTAGAAAAAAAGAATTAGATTTTATTGATATTTTTCTTTTTAATTTTAGTAAATCAAAAACTAATAGAAGCATTTACAAAATACTGAGCATATAATTCTTTGTTGATTAATATGTATTTCATACTTCTTCATCTTTGAGTATAGTAAAGAGACACAAAAAAAAGAAAAAATAAATAAAAATGAGGTCGCTACTTATGAAATACTGTTTATATACTTTGGTTTGATAACCTGTGCGCGTTACTATCATATAAAAATTGAAGATAAAAGTCAGAGGAGTATCTTTATCAATTTATTATTCATTTGTTTGAATATCAATGGGAGCAACTCATAAAAAACCTTCTCAAGATGATTCTAATCTTGAAATATATTCTCTTATTTGGCTTGATCCAACATTTCATAATAATGATGAAATTGTTAAAGCTCAACAAAAACTTCGAATATCAATAAATTATTTAAAAATATTTGAAAATTGTTATCAATGTGAAGAATATATTCGATCAGTTAATTCATTTAATCGATTTATTTTAATTATTAATGATGAATTAGCTCGACAAATAGTTCCTCGAATTGAACAACTACGACAAGTATATTCAATTTATATTCATTGTTTAGATAAAATAATAAATCAACAATGGGCGAAACAATTTCTAAAGGTAAATAAACTTTTTTAATATTTATCATTAGAGATTTGTTTCTTTTCTTTTTTTTTAGATAAAATGTTTGAGTGATCAATTAGATATGCTTGTAACACGAATTCAATCTGATCATAGAATTGATGATTCATTTCCTGTTGTTATTTATAATGTAAATAAATTAAATTTTCATTTTTTTTATTCACAATTATTATTTGATTGTCTTATTCGATTAAATTCAAATGATAAAAATAAATTTATATTTTTATGTCAAAATGAATATAAAGATAATGAAATTGAATTAAATATTATTCATGAATTTGAAAAATATTATTCAGCAAAAGAATCTTTATCATGGTATACAAGAAAATCTTTTATTTATCGAATATTAAATAAAGCTCTTCTTATACAAAATATTGATTTATTATTTACATTAAGATTTTTTATTCAAGATATTTATCAACAAATCAAAGAAAATAAATGTTTATATCCAATTCATGCTTATCATAGTCATTTAATGACATATGAAGAAATTCAATTAATTGAAAATTCTCTTGGACAATATATTTCAATTAATTCATTTCTTTCAGCATGTCTTGATCGTGGTTTAGCTTTATTTTATCTTTATGAACCAAATGATCTTCAACGAGTTTTATTTGAAATTGATACAGATATTCAATCAAATGATATGAATCATTTTGGTTATATTAAATTAGTTAATTATTGTGAAGAAAATGAACAAATACTTTTTATGTTAGGATCAATATTTCGAATTGAAAATATTTTTCTTAATGATGATGAAATATGGATTATTCAAATGAAATTATGTACAGAAAATGATTATCAATTAAAGTTAATATTTAATTTTCTCATAAATGAATATAATTATGGTCAAGAAAATAATATATTTTCATTTGGAGAATTTCTTATTAAACAAGGTTGTTTAAATGAAGTTGAAAAATATTATATTCGTTTAATTGATGAATTTTCTGATCATCCTGATAATTTAATTCAATGTTATAATGAACTTGGTAAACTTGCAAAAGATAAACATGATTATGAATTAAGTATTCAATGGTTTAATAAAGCAATTAAAATAAAATCACAAAATGATTCATATTTAATTGAAAGTTATAATAATATAGCAGAAATTTATCAAAAAAATGGTGATTATAAACAAGCAATTGAATCATATAATAAATCATTGAAGATTTTTATAAAAATATTTGGTGATGATCATCAAAAATTAGCTATATGTTTTAATAATATAGCTATTGCATATAAAAAAGAAAAAAAATATATAGAAGCACTTGAATATCATCAAAAAGCATTGAATATTCTTGAAAAATATCGATCATCTAATCATTGTGATTTAGCAGCATCACATAATAATATTGGTGTTATACATCGACATCTTGGTCATTATGATCTTGCATTAGAACATTATCATAATGCATTAGAAATCTATAAAAAATCTCTTTCTGGTTCATATTCTGATATGGCTAAAACTTTTAGAAATATTGGTACAGTTCATCAAGATAAAGGTGATTTACAACAATCATTGTTATGTTTTAAAAAATCATCTATAATATATCGATGTAGTTTATCATCGGAACATCCTGATGTTATGGAAATTGAAGAAAAAATTCGAAATATATCATGTCATTTGAAATAGTCTGATGTTTATTTTTATTTTGTGAAGATTATATTTAACGAAGAAGAAAATATTGTTTTCATTTAGTGAAATTTATCTGTAATTATTTTTTTTTTAACTACTAACTTTCATTTCAATTAAAAATAGATCATTTTGAAACAGTTACTATTTGGTTTTAAAAAAGATGTCATATATTAGATTAATCGCATTATATAAGCATCTGAGTATTTGAAATAGAAGTTGTTTTTAATGAACTAGAATCAAAATATTTGAGTTTTAGCGTATTGGAATAATAGTATAAATACTGCAAAATTATTCATATTGAATTATTTTCAGTATAGTAGACAGTTTATTCTCAAAAGAGGTACAATTTTTGTATAGAGAACATTGATAGAACGAGCTAATAAACATGCCCAAGAGTACATTCTATAGATATAGTTAATCATATAGCTTCTTCATTTTAACGATTACTTAGACATTTCCAGCACTACTTAATAGATCTTCATAGCTACTTAACATTTATACAAAGCTATTCAATTATTTTTTATATTTCTACTGTCTTTGTTAGAAATAAATCAGCCATTTAAATCATTCACTAGTCGTATAGTTGTTTTTTTGGATAGCTATTAAATCTTTTAAATAGCTATGATAATTTTTGCATAGTGCTAGACTTTAAGGAGCTAGTAACATGAAGTTAAGCATTAAAAGAAAAGTCATCACCAACAAACTAGCATTAAATCTTCTTAGTTGCTATGGTAATATGTAATGGCGTTAGATTTTAAGTACTTAGTTACATAATCAATAAGTAGTGGTATATCATTCGAAAAAGTATCTCTTTTGAGTAGCTACGATTAGAGAAACATTATTGGTTTTCAAGAACTTCTTGTAATGCTCTCGGTTGATGGGATTTCATGCATGATATTCAACCTTCCTCTATCATTCGCTCCTATATTATATATGTTGTCCTCACCTGTCTATTCTTACGCTGCTGTCCTTACTCTATTGTTCTTCTATGTCTGCTCTCTCCTTGACCTCATCTCCTTTCTTTTCATGCTTTCTTCTTCTACTTGCGTATATAAGCGTGTACTTTGTATGTAAACGATACGATTATATGATACGAAGGAATAGAATAAAGTGTATCTCCATCCACACTAGTATCCTTTCTATCAGAAATCGTCACATTTCTGTTGGTATAGTACAAATCTAATGTTTAATATGAACACATTTCTGAAACTTGGCTTAATGGCTAAAGCGTTGTTAAAATTTGATCATGGTTTTCATTACCATAAAATTTGACCAAGAGCGATACCCCTCGTTATGATAAATTATGAATGCACCGCATCGGTTTATTTTGACTTCTTACACTTTTTTTTCTAGTCAATCTATGGCTGTAACTGGAGATTTGAGAGTAATGAGGCTGTACACAACGGATTCCGGCTTCTCGATCTCTGCTTCATTATATCATATACTCCTTTTTTATTTGAAGTTCTCTTTTGATATTACCGTAAATACAGTGGATCCATCGAAGACTTTTCCTGCCTTCTAAAACATGTCATCATAATCATGCCGCCATTTGGGTGTGGATGGGGAAATGGAAGGATGTGTGGGTGTGAGTGAGGGTGTGTGAGAGTGGGTGTGGGGTGTGAGTGTTATCTTCCCTTCATTCATACTCACACCCACAACCACACCATCACACTCACCCGCACCTCATATTGGCAAAGTATCATACCTAAGTAATTGTGGAGCACAAGATAGGCCAGTAAAGCTATCTAAGCAAGTACTGCTGATGCTTATTCTGTGAATGATGTTCCAGTATACACAGAGCATTCTGAATAAGACTGTTCGTACCCTTGAACATATAGATACACAACTATGTTTTATGCCTCGTTTGCAAATGGCATTTCATCCGAAGCTGAACATCAATTTGGTTTACTTGATCAATGATCGCCCTATAGATAACACAATTAGCAATATATGCTACGCGTATACGATGTTCACGTTTGTGATTGGCAAGCTGGACATCATTGTAACAGCAGATCACTATATGAAGCTTGGTAATTGTTTACAAACATAGACTGTTGTACGAAATCTATAGATCCATGTAATAAAAAAATCGTTTCTAGTACAACTATTTGAATCAAATAAAGAATCTTGTTGTTGATGATGTGTAATTAAATGTGAATGTGGAGTGTAGCTGTGACTATAGTTGCAAGCATCATGCTTGTCTTTACACCCGCACCCACCCAACGATTCTTCAAGTTAAAATACTATCTCATACAAAAAGAAGAAATTCAAAGGAAATTAGTCTTACATAAGAGAAACCTTAAAACTCTACTTCGACGTTATCTTGAGCATATTTATTACGAACAAAGCTACAACGGCTTTAAAAAATGAATGCAGCTTTTGAATTCTTTTTATAAACTATTCATTCTCATGTTCTAAGACAGGAAAAATCAAATCAATCTTTCGAGAACCTTCACAATGATTGAATTGAGATACTCATATGGAGTGTTGGAATAATCGTTTTCTTTCTCATAAAGATATTGAAACTCAAGAGAATTTTTTTATGACTTTGATATCAAATCGAACGACAAGTATTAATGAAAGTATTTTGATATTACTGTTTCGCAAGGACCAACAATCGACAAATATTTGATGTGTTCGAGTGCATAATCATGTCTATGCGATTCTGATGCTCTGATACAAAGATGCAATATCTTATATCGTGTATCCTTGTAGCCAACAAAAAATAGTGGATGTCTATTAAAATAAAGATACAATTATTGTTCATTGTAAACTTTTTGTTCATGATCTTGGGTTGATATCCGTGTCGGCTAAATAGTGACTCTTTGATTGAAACAGTCAAGGAGAACATGACAATTCAAGCTGAATGCATGTATTTGACTAGCCCACTCGAATGGAGTTTCTTCAATCCTAATACATTCAACGGTAGTTATCACAACACAATACAACAAAACGAATTCCCACTGATAGATCTCAATATGAAACGTTTGTTCTTGTTGAAAATGCCACCAACGAGTAATCCACCGACACAACACATCATCAACTATTGGCTTGTCAATCGGGGTGGTGACTCACAGTATGGAATGGAACATTTCGGAATTTCAATGCTCAAACAAATTGCCTCAAATAACTATGATAAGATCTTTCCTCAGACACATTCGATAATATATCTATTTCAATATAGAGGTGCAGGATTGAGTAAACCATCGATTCATTGTTACAATGCAACGAATTGGATGAATTGTGCAGAATAATTGATTCGTAGAACAGTACCATTCTCAACAAATGAATCATTAAAAATAGTTAATACTATTTTAAATCAAAATATTGCACAAGATTTACAATATCAGATCCAATATGCGATAAATCAATCTGAACCAATGATACCAACATCTACTTATATTTATGGAATGAGTCAAGGTAACACTCATGTAAATGATTTTCATCTGATATTGACTCGAGAGTCAATTTTTCTAAGTAAATTCATCAAATTCGATCATGCTTTATTTTATACAAAAAAATTTGTTCATGTCAACTTTTTTTAAAGAAACATCGTAGCATGTGACAATCCACTGCCAAGATTTTCATAAGAGTACCCAAGTCAAAAGTGCGTCATCGATTTCTGGTGGACCTGTCTCAATATGATGAAGTCGACTGACCGAGTTCGACGAGATTCTGATTGTTGAAATCCAGTCGGACCCAAAAAGTTCGGAAAAGTTGATTGTTCGATTACAAAGGAACATTTCAGCCGTATAAAAATATATTTCTAATAGAGGCAACATATAATCATTGCAGAAAAGTTTCAGAGAAAATCACGCTTATTTTTTCTAAGTTCGTTCTCAACTGGAGTAGCATTCTCGAGATATTTTGAAAATTAGCGTTATATATGCAGGATTTGTATGCATATCTTGATAATAGTGTTTCATCTAGAAATGGATCAAGTATCATTAAACTTTAAAAAAATCAGCTGAATTTTCAGGAAAACTGTCGTTCGATCATTTTTAAATTTACGAAACTCGGAAATTTCAATATGTGTTGCGTCAGATGACGTGCTATTTACCTGTTATCCACATGGTAGAAAGTATTCAGATTGTTGTCTCTTTCAAAGATATTAGGAAACCGTAATCACTGTTGAGAGTATTTCGTCGCCTGATAGAGTCTTGGGAACTAGTGGGTGTGGGTGTTGGGGTTAGGTGTGGATTAAAACAAGACGAGTTTGAACCAACACCCATCCACACCCACACCCACACCCTCGCTAATGATATTACCGTAATAGCAGTGAAGAAAGATTATTGGGAAACGGCATCACGGGGATAGTCTCATGAGAAAGCTGACTCAATCAAAAACTAGCAATTAAACTAACAATGGAACCTTTTGTACTGATCATCAAGGAGATTGATCATATTCACGTCACATGAAAGCTCTCACCGCCAAGCTAACAAATTTAAAATATAATGTGCCCATAGCATACTTAGAGCAAGTTGCTGAAATTTCCAAGTATGTGAGATCTAACGAGGGAACCTCTTGAGGAAATAAAAAGCTTTTCGACCGAGGATGTGATGGTCAGATAGGGCATAGCTCGGAGTGATAAATCCTAAATTGGTTTGGGTCCAACGTGCTTTTATCAGGAGTTATGAATTTTTCAAGTTATAAGCGTTTGTGTCAGTTTTATCGTTGAATTAACCTTACTTTTTTCGAACGAGAAAACACGTATTCGATTGAAATTTTTATTATATCTATTCCAAGTTGTGATCTTGACCATTTAAAATTGCAACTAAAAAGGTTAGAGTGAAATAGACAAAGAAATTTTCAAAATTTTCTTCTTAACTTTGTAGTTTTGCATATTTTACCACTTAGTTAGAAGAAGTTCATTTGAATAGATTCTTCAAGCAACCATTGACTTATCGTACTATTTATCTTGAAAATCTAGGGTGTGTGGTGTGGACATTCTAATCCGTGTTTCTCCCACACCCACACCTACGCCCACACCTTCGGCG